ATGCCTCCAGCTATCCCTTCTTAATTTTTTTAATCCGTTCAAACGGTTCGAGCTATCCATTTGAGAAAATTCATCTTTTTTTCACTTCACACTTTGGCAACGATGGTAGAAACATTTTCGATGTGATTTTTTTCCATATCTTCTCTCGTTGAATTCTCCATTTTGTGATTGTGTGAATTTTTTTTAATTGACACAAGTTGTTAGCAGTTACAAAGGCAACACATTTTTTTTTTTTTGACAGGGAAGCTGGGATTATGGAAATTTAAACCCGAATTCAAGTTTTTTTCTATTCTTTTCGCGTGCAAGTTCCTTGGTTGTACCTTATCTTAATTTTTTTAAGTCAATGATAAAAATATTAATTATAATCCATTTGAATGCGCTTTTTTTTAAGTCGAGTTATTCAAACGATTGAGTTTCGACTTATTTCAAGTTTTTTTTTCACAGATTGTGTCAAATACCTCGCGTCACCCAACGCGTGACACTTTTTTTTAATAATCCTTTGCTTTGGCTCAAGACAAGAGCTTGAGACGCCTGTGTCGGCATTCGTTTTGACGAAACCATCTGTTCAGATAATTTGTACAGGCATTTTTTTGTTCGACCGCTTAGCCGTTTATCCATTTGATCTCATCTGTGAGGTTTTTTTCAGTGTTCGAAAAATTAGCTGTTCATCCCTTGGATAATTTTCATTTTTTTTTCATCCATTCAATCTAATCCGTTCGAAAATTTTAATTAGCCGTTTTTTTTTTCGACCTCATCCGTTCAAAAATTTTAATTAGCTGTTCATCCGTTTTTTTTTGTCAGCTCGAAAATTTTCACTAGCTGTTCATCCATTTGATCTCATCCGTTCGAAAATTTTAATTAGCCGTTCATCTGTTCACAGTATCCATTTTGAACAGCTTTCCTAGCCGTTCTTCACCCGTTTGCTTGCCGTTCCATTCACTGTTTGAACAGCCACCGTTAGGAACGTTTTCGCGTGAGAGGTCACAAATAAAGTTTTTTTTATGAATATATATACTCAATTGTTCTAATGGATAGAAATAATTAATGTGTTATCCCTGAATTTGGACTTGAAGGATGTTAAAAGAAACTAAAATTTTGTCAATAGTTTTGTACACTGTAGGGTCAAAATTCCAGTATGCAGAAATATATGTCGATAGTAAGAGCTGACTACAGATTGGAATGTGTTAATAGGGACCTGATACAAAAGTTTAGTGGGGTTTTGATGAGTACATGTAGAGAAGTAGTGTACATTGAGGGACTGTTGAGAGAACTTCAGCCCAAACAGAAGCCTATAGTAAGAGCTTGCTACAGATTGGAATGTGTCAGTAGGGACTTGATGTGAAAGTTTATTGGGGTGTTGATAAGTACATGTAGAGCAGTGGTATAGGAGGACTGTCAAGAGAGCTTCAGCCATATAATGTTACTTTTTTTTTCTGAACATCTTTGTGTTATTTTTTTTTTTGAATCTTTAAAATTAAGGATTACACCACTTAAATGAATGAGTTTTTTTTAAGGTTGGTTTTCAAGGCTTTTTTGTTTGTATTTATTGACTAAAGAAAAACATAACTCGGGGATTTCTCAAACGATCAAATTTCTCAAGGGATTATCAACCATATTTGCAAGTGTCTAGACCTGTAGCTTTGAAAAATTGTTTATTTTTTTTGAAATGAATTTGTCTATATCCTGTGGGCAATGAAATTGTTAATATTTTTTTTTAAATAATGCAGTGCAATGAGGGATTAAATTAAACACTAACTTTTCAAGAATAGGTTACTATTAGAGATTATAGTTCACCACTAAATTTTCTCCTTTTTTTATTGGTTTGAATCGATCACATGACACGATAGTGTTCATCCGTGGAGAGACACTATCAACTCATAGTGCCCGCCCGCGGAAAATACCCGGATGGATTTTTTTTGTCCATGGAAAATACCTGGATTGATAGTACTCATCCGTGGAAAGTTTTTTTTAGTTTGACGGCCGCGAAGTTAGGCAGATCGGTAAAACAATAACTTTTTTTTTCTGACAGGTATAACGTTGTTAAGAATGACTTAATAAATCTGTTTTTTTTCTCAAAGTTTTACTTTATTCTGACTAAGGACAAAACCTCCTTGGCAAATACTCGATCTTCACAAGGCAAAATCTCGAACAAAGTTAAAGTACTTGACATTTGATCCCTGTCACTCATTTTAAAAATACCATAAATGTAACGCAACATTTTTTTCTCCTGATCAAATGTATTATTTAGCCAATGTACGGTTGTGAATTTTTTTTTTTTGTGGCAAGCTGTAAGCGTGGAAGAAAATTTAGTGGTGAACAATAAAAACAATAGAGTGTTTATGTCTCGGAACTATCGCTCTGATAGTTGCCTTTTTTTAATTTGATGTTCTTAAAACTAGCATATTTGCCCTCGAAGCTTCATTTTTTTGGCAAATATTTGTTTTAAGAATATCAAATTTCCACAGGGCAACTTATCAGCCAATAGTTCCTCGACAGAAACACTGTATTGTCTAATTAGCATTATTTTTTTCAGCTTGAAGGGTTGCACATGATTTCTAACTCTACTCTTTCTCCCTAGCCCTCAACCTTTAAATGTAATGAAGTTGTTTTCTCTATTTTCTATTTTTCCTTGAAATGACAGCTTAACCCTGACTGATGACTTGTACCATATCATAGTTTTTTTGTTTTCATCTGCAAATGCACCTCTTCAAAGCATTAGAGGTCTTTGGTTTTTAGAACCAGTCTGATTACACTGTATTGTACATTTTTTGGATATTTTATAGTTAACCCTTTGACTTCTAAGATCTCATTGATAATTCTTGTTGCTGTTTTCTATACAATTCTAATGATGTTAGTTCAGAGAATTTGGTATTGGATCAACCAATAATCCACTGATTTGTTTTTGTACATTCTCATTACTTGTCTACTTGAAATTGTATCGATATTGTATCGATATTGTAATGAGAAATTCTGTCTTGGTCACTCATGGGACTTAAGGTGTAAATCCTTTTTTTTTTTTTTCAGTTGATATTTCTTCATGGGCTTGGAGACACTGGGTAAGACAGTTTTCATGTCCTGATTGTTTCTCTTTTACTGCATGATTGAATATGATTATCAAATAAATGTATTCAAGGTTTGTGTTACTTAAGTGCATGAATTTCATGCAGTTGAAGGGTGGCTTAAGTCTATAAAGTAGCTAAAGCTGGGGCCATTCTTTTGTGCCCTTTGAAGTTGTTAATACTCTGTAAGTAAGATCATATATGAATTAAATATAATTAGGTCATGGAAGGAAGGCTAATGTGTGCAATGTAGCAAAATTATGTCAAATATAGAGTGATTTAAAAATTTCTAGCAACTTGGTAAGATTTTCAAGCATTAAGTTATAGACAGGAGTGCTAAATGAAACTAAGCTTACCAAGACTTTTTTGATAAGGGTACATGTAGTTATTGATAGAAAAAGTGATAATCATGTTGAGACTTTGTTCCTCTTGTTAGACATGGCTGGAGTGCTGGTTTTGAGGAGATAAGAGCACCTCATGTGAAATACATTTGCCCCAATGCGTAAGTTCACAGCTTGTCTTCATATGCCTGTACATGTTATGGATCTGAAAATTAATGTTGCAGTAGAGATGTGTTTAAGCTTCCTCTATTCATTTTGCAAACTTCCCAGGAAAATAAGTGCAGTGGTTCTGGGGTTCAAAAGGTCATGTTCCAGTGCTGTGATTGGTGGATTTACAGGATAAATTTCTGGGTCCCTGCCCTTAGATGGCCATTGCATTAATAATTGACACAAGCATGACATTGAATTATATTTTTACAAGAGTCTCTTTTTTTGATGTCCAAATTCCTGAACAGCATGTTGTCATTTGGTGTATCACTTGTTCTCCAGGTACTGGTGAAGAAACACTTTGAAGTGTTCTTTGTTCTTATTTTCTAGACCTGTCAATCCTGTGACATTGAATGGAGGGTTTAGAATGCCTTCATGGTAAGTCAATGTAACCGTGGTCATTAGCTCCAAAGTGTGCAATAAAAAGTAGTAACTTTTGCTCATACAGCCATCCCTGTTCAAGATAATTTATATGAGAGTTATGTCAGTTAAATGATAATTATGTGAAACATGGGTTCATTGGAAGATTGTCTGATATGAAAAGCTGAATTATAAATGCCTTTTGAATGATTCTTGCATATGTTTCTTATCGATTGGATAACAGGGGCATATATAATGTTACCATTAATAGCATTTAGCATTTTATCATGTTAAACAAATACCATAGATTCTATGTTGCTGTGGGTCTGTACAGTAGACAGCTAAAAGCTAAAAGATCAAAGCTGCTAGAAAGTGGTTAGAACTTTAGTGACACACTTGGCTGTGCCTTGTGTGCCACTTTTTTGTTCTTACAAGGGCTCGAAATGAAAATAAATTCTCAATCCCGATTTGCGAGTAATACCTAAAATTTACCCATAAGTACAAAAAATTTAGTCACAAAAGAAATTTCATGAGTGTTGCACAGCGTAGTTTCTGAAATAGTACGCCCGCGATACGTTTCTCAGCAAGAAATCAATGGTAAAAGTCACGCAACATTTAACTTGAATTTCACAGGAATTTTTTTTTTGGATAAAAGTACAGCAACCAGTAACAAGTAAGACACAAGGCTGTTAAATATAATTTATAAGCTAGGCTACAAAACTGTCACAAAATCGCTACCAATGTAGAAATTTTTAGTCGCAAAAGCGAGATCTTTATTTGCAAATGCACCTGATACAGGCACAATTTTGAGCCTTGCTTACCACAATTTGACATCATCTGTGATCTATTACTGCAGATGCACAGCAACATGGATTTTTTAATTTGTTAATTTGTTAATTACATGTGTAACAAACCACAGGTGTTATCTTTTATTGCTGTATGTTATTTTAATGATTTGTCTGACTGTTTATGGCCACCTTTTTGGGGATATCATATACATCTAAGTGTTGATTTGATAACATTTTTGTTTAAGCTGTGCTGTCAGGTTTATAAACTTCATGATATGTTTGCAATTTCCTATAGGTTTGATATTAAGTCATTAAGTCCCTCTGGAAGTGAAGACGATGTAGGAATCAAAACTGCTGCTGAAGGAAGTGAGTAAATAATTGTCTCGTGAGAGTTACAACAAATAAAAATTTTACTTCATACAGTGTTTCTTTAACTGACAGAGTGCAAAGGAATGATGTGTATGACGAGTTTCTGGTCATAAAAATTTATTTAAGAATTTGTTTTTTTGTTTTTTGTTTTTTGTTATTTACTTTATCCTTTGTACCAGATACATTGCCATAATCCATAAACAAAGGAAAACTATAATTGTAGTTTGAAATCAGTTTAACCACAAACCATTTTGAAATTGTAAATTAATTACACTCTAAACAGTTTGTTTTAGAGCTGTACACAGTGTAAGGTCTGCAGCTGCTCAACATTTTGATTTCAACATGTAAGATGACCTCATAAGAACAAGAATTTTTTTTTTCAGTCAAAAAAATTATTGATGAGGAGATCAAAAGTGGGATACCATCAGATCGAATTGTTTTAGGTAATTTACTTACAATATCTACACATACAAACACATGCACTGTTTACTCTACTTCACACACCCTGAGGGTTTTTTATTATATGACTGAGATGAAAATTATTCTAATTTTTTACATGAAGTTGGCTACTTGTGATTTGTTACCATTGGATATGTCACTTGAGTCATGAATGTATTATTAGTGCCTTTCTAGTCCTATAAAACATTTACACTAAGTCTCTGATTCTCTTAAAGTGAACTGGTATTGATCAGGGATTGAATATCAAGAAATGATTTATATGTGATTGACCGTTATTTGATGTGGACCAATCTTATTTTTTGTCTTGCTCTCCAGGTGGTTTTTCACAAGGTGGTGCTCTTGCACTATATACAGCCCTTACCATGGAGAAACCTTTAGCTGGTATCTTGGCCCTAAGCTCATGGCTGCCTCTTCATAAGACCTTTCCAGAGGTAGAATGATGTAGGGTAATTTTAAACCATGGTGGCTATTTTGATATTACTCAATCCTTCTGGGCAAAAGAATTTTCAGCAGCTTCTATTTTCTGATCAGAGTATATCCATTGTTAGTATATATCACACAAGTGAACAATGCTTTTCCCACAAGCTGCACCTGTGAGCTTTTCAGTGAGTTTGATTGTGTATAAAAGTGTTCCTTACTTTGCAAATCTCATTGAAATGGTATGTCGAGTTACGAATAAAATATAGTGACCATTGTGCCTTGATGTAATTTAGTTTTCACGATAATCATGTTTCTTTGGTGGAAAAGTTGGTAATTTTGAGGCAGAGCTCCCACAAAAAGCTATTGGTTGTCTGTCGGCCAACTTTTGGTCGTTTGTTGGCCAACAAACGGCAAACAATCAGCCAACAGACAACCATTCCTCATATTGAATATTCTTTCTACTGAAATGTCTGTAGAGTGATAATGTAACATCTTGTTTGAACTGGGCAATGCTTAAGAGACTTTTGTGACCACTGTGTGATGAAATGTGTTTGGTCAGTGCACTGTTGTTGAACATGACTGATAAGCTTGCTTGCTGTTTTGATTACATTATTTTTGTATAGGTGAATTTGAAAATTGAAATTAAATAGTGACATTGTTTTGTTAATTTATATATTATGTACCTTGCTATGAAGAAACTGATTTTGTTTCAATTTAGGCTCTTGAAGGAAATAAAGACACTCCAATAATAATTTATATATTTATGTACCTTGTTATAAAGAAACTGATTTTGATTCAATTTAGGCTCTTAAAGGAAATAAAGACACTCCAATAATAATTTATATATTTATGTACCTTGTTATAAAGAAACTGATTTTGATTCAATTTAGGCTCTTAAAGGAAATAAAGACACTTCAATACTTCAGTGTCATGGTAGGTCATCATTACCAGTAGGTGCTTGCCTTAAATTGCTAGTTACTGGTCATAGCTAATGTATCAAATAAGGTTAGCTTAATTTGGAAACCTGATTTGCTATTTTTACCAACTGATAAGTTAATTTAGGGCTAAGAAAAAAAAATTCAGTCCACATATTAAAATAGAGAGATATCCTTACTGAAGTTTTTTCTTCTACATTTCTTTTATTCTAAAGAAAAAAAAAAAGGATAAGAATTCATTTATATTCTAGCAATTTATGGTAGGTGATTTCTCTCGTAGGAACGGCTGACCCAGTTGTAGCATTTTCTTTTGGAGAGTTGACCAATCAAGCTTTGCATAAACTTTGTTCAAAACACGAGTTTAAAGCATACTCTGGATTATCTCACAATTCAAGTCCACAGGTGAGGAAAAACAAATTAAAGAGAGTTATTGCTATAATTTCTGTGTCTGTCAAGTGGGTGTAATACATTCTGTAAATGGTTTCACAGCTGCTGCATGGTTGTACACTCTTCTAACCTTTACTCTCCCATGAACAAATATCAACTTTCAGACTGCCAGTTACTGGTATACACTCTTATGAATCCTCCTTTGATTTTAGATCTGATAATTTGGTATTATATCAAACAAATTCCACTTGTTGTCATACTATTATTCTATTATTTGTTGTCTTTCTCCTTGAAGATGGACATACAGTAGGGAGAAATTCAATTTTTACTAAAAAATATTTTGGCTTCCATTTCAGGAAATGAAAGATGTAAGACACTGGATTTCTAAAGTCTTACCTTAGAAAATTAACTAATTTAGATTGATGCTTTCCTCTTTATTTTACAACTTGCATGTAGATATACAATTTATGTACATGTATGCCTGTACACACACACACACACACACACACACACACACACACACACATATATGAATACAATTTATTCATATATGTATGTATGTTTATGAAATTATGAAATTTCTCTTCCTCAGGATGATTAGTATGATCTGAAATTAAGCACCACCAGGCAAACTTCGCCTTTTTTTTTTTTTTTATGAGTGACACATTGTTCCAGCTCTTATAAAAGTGCTTATTATTTTGGGCTTCACTTGAATGTGAAATTTTACATAACCTGCCTGTGATAAAAGCAGGTAGTTATTAAATGTCCTTCACTGATCCTGGGGTGCACTGATTGGGGTGATCAGTTCCATTTGAAAATGACTTCAGGTTTGTTTTTAAACTGTAAAGTACATGTTTATTTGAGGAGTGTTTGGATCACTTTGTATTTACATTGCTAGTCGTAACTATGTTCTATATGAGTTTCTTCTTAACATTGAATCTTTGCTTGCCTTTGCCCCCTTTCCTGCCAAATCAAAATAAATTAATGTAGTATTTTCCTCTGTTTCTTTAAAGAGCTGCCTTTGTTTTCTTTCCCTGCAATGTATACAGGGAACACCATTACTTGCTTCTCTGAAAGGCAAACAAGGTACTCATATCTTGTCTTTCCCCAAATATTTGCCCAGCCATGTGCTGTGGATGAAGCCTATGAGGAATTTTATTCTTTTTGTAGTAAGCTTTAATTGTAAATTGTAGAAAATAAAACATTGTAAGTAGAGGTGATACCTTTTTTGAAGTAAGAATGAGAACACAATTACAGTACTAAGGAAAACTTTCTTCAAATTATCTCATTAGCTAGGATCGGTGATATGTAATAAATAAAGTGTTGTTCCCTTCAATAACTGCTGCATATAATGTTGTTAAATGGAATTTAAAGTAGTTAAAGACCAGAAGCTAATCTGGTTAGTAGCATTTTGTTGGCGTAATGTTAGCATATTAACCCTCTGTTAGTGTTTGCACTGCATTTGTGTGTGTTTGGCAGTGTTTGCAGTGACCATGTGGTTGTTGGTGGCCTGGAGAGGTCCTTGTCCAGTGGTTCTCCTTATCAGTGTATGTGTTGGTCTCCCATGTGCATGCATTGTGTTGGGTGTACTGGGGCGTGGTGTTGTCATCCTTGAGGATAGTTTCTAGACGTTCTCATAGCCAATTGCTTTTTTTTTTCCAGGGGTTTTTACCTGCATGGTTATATTTTTATTCACTTATTTATTTGTTTCTTTATTTTTCTTCCACCAAGCCGGTTGCTTGTTGGCATCTTGGCTGGGTTGCAGGTTGGGCAGGCAGGTCGGGTGTTCTAGTTCCTCGGGTGTGACTGTGGTTGCAGCCCCTGGGGCACTTGACTTCCATTTGCCACTTGGGCATTAACAGGGTCTTAGAAGTCATCTGTGCATTAAATCATCTGTTAATCATACAGCTACACAAGAAATCAATCATTCTGCCTAACTTTCCCCAATCCTTATATACATGTTATTCATTTGGTTTTTGTGGTAAAACTACCAATGATGATTACTTAAAAACCTAATTCATCAGACTGATTGTTGTGATACATTCTTTTACCCCATCAATCAAATAATCAATTAGTTTTAGTTCTACCATACTTCATCCATCAAACAAGCCTGTTATGGGTCTTTGTTGCCATCCGTCTGCAGAGTAGGGATCTAATTTGTAATTAATTCTGTTAATCAATCCATTAATCAAGCAAACTTTACGTGATACTTTCACTGACTCTATTTATCAACCGATCAGTGATAGTTATACCATCTTCATCTATTTAACAATCAAGTAATCGATCCTCTCATTCTATCCATGTTTCATTTGGTTTATGTGAGTGAATCCACTCAAACATTGATTTATCATGTCCGTCAATCCAACTTTACACGATACATTCACTCATTCAATGGATCCATTAGTCAGTGGTACTTTAACCATGTCATCTTTTAAACAAGCAAGCAAGCAATCAATCAATCTTTCTGTCAACTTGGGTATTATTCACTTGGTTTCGTTTGTAAATCCACCCATAATCATTAATTTGTCAATTGACACAATCAAACTTTACATGATACTCGCACATTCAGTTAGAAATGAGAATGAAGGAAACGTCAACCAGCTTTGAAGTTCTTGATTGTTAAACAATTTCTCGTTATCATTACCACAGAAAATGTATACAGAACAGTAGGGAGAATATGCATACTGGTGATAGGGTGATTGAGGTTTAAGGGCTTCACTTAAGAGCGCGAAAATGGGTTTGGATGGGGTGTGCTTTGTAAACTCATTATCAACAAATCGGATGTAGCAAATCCTTAAAAGCCCTAACGCTGGCAATGTAGAACCAAGTGTAATGGGCGGGCGAAGGGTAAAAGGCTGTACTCTGGGGTCTTATCCTGGCAGACAATACACTTGTCTCCTTTATCGTTCTTTGATATGTAATCCAAAGTTCTGAACTGCGGCAAAGGAGAATATAAATGACCCATCCCTTCAAGGCTTTTGGGTGCAATGAAAGTCGAGCTAGTTACAATTAGCTAGTCCAAATGGTTAATTGTTACGCAGATGAGTCACCTGCCTTACCCTTGGTTAATATATGAGCTTGTAAAGAGGAAATTGATCAAACCTTAAAGTAATTGTAAACCAAAATTAAAGGGAATAGGTTATCCGGTGCGTTAAACTATCAGAGCCATAACTGGGGTAAACATATCGCGCAACGGCCGTAACTACGTTTGCAAAAGAGTGAGGAGAAATAGAGGATTACCAATCTTTACTACACGGCCTTTTCCATTACAAATATAACTAAGAAAATTATAAATTTATTTAACCAAAATTGAATCTTTCCTTTATCTGATCAAGTTGTGAACTCTTTCTACATCGAATAACAAAGGAATATTTCTGAAACGGAGAGTTGAACGATAAAGGTCGTGAAAATTGTGCTTTAAGCAATTGTTAATAGCAACCACAAACCAGTGATTGTGGAAAAAACAAATTCAGCAATAAAAAGCTGAGAGTATTCAAGCGACTTTCTGAATGTGCACTTCGCGCTATTCCAACAAAGCTCTGAAATAAACCTTTTAAAAAGTTATAGTAATACTAATGAACGGATAACAGCCGGCTGTTAGTTGACTTGTTGTAATCTGTCGAGAAACTTCGTAGCTTCCCAGTAAGCAGATCCAAGGTAATTGTCCTCATTAAAATCATAGGTTTGAAGATTAGAAACGGGAAATCCCGAGAGCGGAATCTGAATAGTTCTTTGTGTGAAAGACTGGGGTGATCCTACATTTTCCTTGGCAGCATCTTCCCTCTGGTTTGTATCCCAGTCAGCAAGCTGTAAAATAAGCATTACAGAGTACGTTATTACCACAAACAACCAATATATTTTGAGCTGATAAGTATTCTTGGATTATATCTATATAGCTGGTTGGGTTGGTTTGGTTTGGCTGTCGCGACCGACAGATCCAGGTTTTGAAGCATACAACAATGTAGTTTATTCTCCCTTGCGGTCGTGAGCTCTGAGATGACTCACTAGTCCAATATAAGAGTGGCAAACTTTTGGACACTTGTGGCATGGATAGCAACCCTGTGCTAGTATACGTTCTTTGCGGCAGCGACGACGTTCCCTCAGATCTTCTATTCGAGCATCCTCAAACTTCGCAACTTCACAATCTATATAGATATTTACACAAACTCGCAAAGTACACTGAGTTGTGATAAATAATGAATCCTTACTATTAATATCGTTATTTGAAAATCCTACAACGCACATTTGTAGTTAGGATTATACCCAATGATAACATTTCACTTGTCCTCTGATCAAGGCGTGGCCCTAGGATCAAATCGAAAACGTGTCGATCCTCCCTTTACCACTGTGATATGATAGGGGCCCCGTCTATCGTGTAACTGTATCTGGGGTACGAGACTCGGCGCCACCCTTACCCTACGCTTGGGAACCAGCCTTATCTAACCTTAGGCGGATATATACCGCTGCATGTTCGTGTAAAATTACGTAATGGGTCGAAATAGGCGCCGAAAAGTCGTAGATAAAAATTAGAAAACACAGAAAGTCAGAAAGTGTGTGCACTTTAGACGTTCTTGAGCGTTAAGGATTTCAAACACGTTGATGTATTACGCAGAAGACAGCTTTAGACGATGTGTCACTCGTTTTGTAAAGTAGGCGACCTCCTAAAAAAAGCTTACGTAAGGTATATGAGAGCACAGAAAGAGAACGCATTAATACAATAATTATCAACTTCTTTTCACTTGAACCTTCAGCTAGTTCAAGTGAAAATAATACTAAAATATGAATTTTGAATTTGTAAATGAGATGTCTGATTAGAATATTTACCTTTTGTCCAGCGAATCCTTTCTCTCCATACCTCTCGAGCTCTCCCTTCATCGAGTCGATTTGTGAAAGAAGAACTTGCCTCTCGTTGATCAAATCGTCCATTGCTCCAGTTTGTAAACTGTTCTTGTCTTGAAGTTCGTTCTCTTTTAATCTTAAACGTCCTTGTAATACGAGCATCTGTTCTCTAATTCGTTGATTTTCCTCTACAAACCTCTGGGCTTCAGGGGAAGTATTTAATGAAGGATCCGTGAAAGAGCCAAGCGATGACTCCACGTTCAACTGGTGTCCAGGTTCACTTTGGATCAGTTCGCTGGCGAGAGGCTGAGACCGACCCTCGTTTGCTGGTGTTAAAGTCATAGGAGTTTCACGCTTCATCCTTTGAACTTCGTCCTCCAGTTGATCGACTTGAGATTGTAAATGCTTACCCTGTTTTAGCAAAAATTCGTTTTCTTCACTTAACTTTGAGTTTTCCTGTTCAATTCGCGCTTGATTCTCCCTCAGATCCCGTAACTCAGTCTCTGAAAAGTCATCCGACAAACTCTCCTTTTCTCTGCTTTCTTCCTCCTGTTTTTCTCTTACGACTAAAGCCTCTTTTAAATATTGATTTTCTATCTCCAGATTTTCTTTGTCTTGCAGTAACTTTTCATTCTCTTTTTGGATTCCGGGAACGTCAACTCCTTCTGTATGACCTGATCTTCTCAGGCTCTCCGTTTCGAGATACAGAACCTGATTTTGCCTCCTCAGTACTTCATTGGCTCTTTTTAGAGCTTGAATTTCAGTTTTCTTTTTATAGATATCTCTCTGAAGAACTTCTAACTCCTCTTCGAGCCGACCTTGCTCTCTCATCGATGACGAGAGCTGCTCTCTAGTTTGATTAAGATCTTCAGGTTCCAGGAGACTCGTCTGTAATCCCATTTCGAGTCTCGGCGTTAGTAGAATCTCGTCGAATTTTTCCTTTTCCTCTTTCCGCTTCTGCTTTAAAGCTAAAAACTTCTCTTTAAGTTTGCCGTACTTTTCCTGCATTTTGTTCAATTCATCCTTACATGTTTCTATCTCGTCCGCCAGCTTTCCTTTGTCCATCTCAGATTCAGTTAATGACCTGCTGAGCTTCTCGCACTCCTCTTGCTCATCAGACTGCGCTTTTTTACTCTGAGAAACATACCGCGCAAATTGTTCTTTCTCTTGGATCAGTTCGCTTCGAAGAACTTGACTCTCATTCTTCAGCTCAGAGATGATTCTCTCTGACTTAATTTTGTCCTGTTCCGCCTGATGCATGAGCGTCAAATGCTTCTCCGTCTCTAGTAACACTCTTTCTCGTCCTTTCTGTTCTGTGTCGAGCACAGAGAACAGCTTCGATAGTTCTTCTGTCTTTCTCCGAACTTCCTCCTCTAAAGCTCTAATCTTCCGTTCGCTTGCCTCGTCCGCTTTCAACCTTTCATGCTGGAAATTCTCTTCGAAACGTTTCTGTGATTTGTGAAGCTCATCACGTTCGTTTTTAACTCTTGTAAATTCATCAAATTGTTTTCTATTCGTTCTTTGCGCTTCCTCCAAATGGGACCTCAAGGTGGTAGCCTCTTTCGTTTTCTTTTTAAGTTCCTGTTGATGCGCTTTTTGAGATTCACTAACTTTGAGTTGCTCCGACGTAAGATTAGCTTCATGTGCTATCTGCTGTTGCTGAAAATCCTCTAGCTCCTGTTTCAGCTCGTTTATTTCTTCTTGTTGAGTTTTGTTAAGTTCTCTTGCGGTGTCTAGGTCCGCTGTTAACACTGCAACTTCCTTTGCGTGCCCTTCAGTTACTGTCAGATGTTCTGCCGTTCTTTTAGCTTCATGTGCTAATTGTTGCTGTTCAAACTCCTTTATTTCTTGTTTGAGTCTGGTTAACTCATCCTGTTGTTTCTGATGCAATCTTTGAGCAGCTTCCAAGTCAGTTTGAAGAGTTTCGACCGCTTTGGCATGCCCTTCACTCGTCATGACTTGTTCCGCAGTGATGCTTACCTCGTGTGCTATTTGTTGTTGTTGAAACTCGTGAAATTCTTGACTAAGCTTTGTGATTTCCGCTTCTTGCGCTAAATTGGTATGGCGAGCTCTTTCTAGCTGGGTCTTCAAGTCGGTGATGCATTCGGCTTGCTCGCTGTTAGCCTGGAGTGCTGTTTCTAGGTCGGCCTCGAGAGTTTTAATTGTCGTTGTTAACTGCTCCTTTACGACTTCTACGCTCGAGGAAACTACATCTTCGTTGCTCTCGGCATTTATAGCTAACTGATCTTTCAAGTTCTTTACCTCTTCGTCGTGTCTTTCCTGCATTTTAGCTATGCGCTCTTGGTTATTTTTAACAGAGAGTCTTTCTTGTTCAAGATTTTGGCGTAAGGTTTCAATTTCTATGTTGATGGACTCGATCCTCCTTGTCTTTGAAGCTGACTTACTTCGTTCTTCCTCGAGCTCTTTTTCGAACTTCTCGATTTTTTCTTCGTAATCTTCTGCGAGTCCTTTCATCTGCTGCTCGTATTCTAGACCCAAACCAGTCGATGGATTTGCTGCAAAGGTTTTGTCGACTGCTGCCAAAGTAATCATCGGCTCAACGCTCTGAGCTTGACGAAGATCTTCAATTTCCTCATGAAGATCCTGTTTCTCGATTTCTGCCTGTTTTTGGTAATTTTCCAGGCTTTCGATCTTCACGGATAACTTTTCTAACTCACTTTGGTATTCTGCTATTTGTCTGTCTTTTTCACCATCCCCTCCCATGGCACTTTTCCTGAGATCTTGAACCTCTTGCAGAAGCAAAGCTTTTTCATTTTTAAATTTCTCGCAGTCATCTCTAAGCTTTGCGACTTTTTCATGAAGCCCTTTTATAACTCCTTGTGACTCCACGTGGGCTTCACTAGCATTTTTGCTTTCATTTTCCATTCGTTCGAGTTTTTCTGTAAGTTTCTCAAGCTCAAGCTTGTTCTCTCGAGATTGAAACTCCAACGTATTGTTAAGATCCTGTTTCTCAGCTTTTAGAGTTGCGACTGTCTCTCGCATTCTTTCAACTTCATCAGCAATCTGCGCCTCATTCAGTTTTAACTCTTCAGTAACCTTCTGATGATCCGCTTCTTTGCTGGTTACTTCGGAACCCAATCTCTGATTTTCTTCGGTAAGGTTTGCAATCTCGTCACGCAGGATTCCAACTGAGGTTTTGTATTCTTCTACTTGGGCTTCAGAATTGGCCAATTCCTTCTTAATATGATCAAGCTGACTCTCAAGATCTGATATTTTCGAGATGTGATTTTCATTTTGATTGGGAAATTCTTCATGAGTACTTTTGCTAAGTTCTAATTGTTGCTCGAGGTTTGAAATCTTTGCTCTACATTCTTGTAGTTCTGCTTCGTTGTTGCTGTTTGCTTCTCTCACAACCTCTAGTTCATACTCAAGCTTGGCTGTCTTGGTTTGCAAATCGATATCAATCTCTAACTGTTTCTCATCTGCACCTTTTAATCTTTGAATTTCACTTTCCAGCTCTGTAACCTTTTGTTTATAGGATTCTACATCTCCTACTAGTGTCCGAGTTTCCTCCACTTGATTGTCATTTATCTTCTCCATTTGCGGATTTTCCGGTTTCTTTGAATTGTCCAGCTCATTATTGAGATCATTCACTACCAAATCGTATTCTCTTTTGAGACCCTCATTCTCAGCCTGCAGAGTCTCTAAGCTCTCATGAAGTCGCTCAATCTCTCTTTCATGAAGCCTTTTCATTGAATTCACCTCTAACTGAAGTTCTTGATTTGTTCGATCGACTTCTTTCCCTTCAAGGTAGCTTCTCTCAGCTTCCTGTAGGCGCTGTTCGTAGTCTGAGACAACCTTGTCTAGTTTCATTTGTTCTTCTTCTTTCATTTCCTCTCTAAGCCTTTCTACCTTTTCTTCAAATTCCTTTTCGTGATCTGCAATCTTACCCTCTAGAGAATCACGCGCTTCGACAAATTCAAGTCTCTCATTTTGGAGACTTTCTTTCAACTCCTTTATTTCATTCTCGTACACTTCAATCTTACTTTGCATTGCCTCCAGATTTTTAGCTTTAGTCTCGATCTCTTGAGATGTATTTCTGATCTCTTCCTTTTCTTTTCTGAAAACCTCCTCCATTTGTTCGATATCTCTAGCATGCTTTTCGTTCATGTCTTCGGCTTGATTTCTGAGCTCCAATATGGTTCTCTCGAGTTTCTCCTTTTCGCTTTCAAACGCACTCTTCGATTCGTCCAACTGCGTTTCAAATTCATTTTTCATAATTATCAGGTCCTGCGCCATTTGAGCCTCGCTGGTTTCCATCTGACTAGTCAAATCTGTAACCTGTTCTTGTAACTGGTCAATCAGGTTTTCGTATTGCTTCTTTTGAGGAAAATCCGTGGAAGAATAAGCACTGGTCTCCAGTTCTTTCAGTTTTGCATCATACTCATTTTTCAATTTATCCATTTCCACATGATGCTCCGTCCGAAGCTCATTTTTTTCGCTCTCATTCGCACTCTTTAGCTCGCTTAATTTCTCCTGAAATTCAAATTCTTGCTGCTCTATTTTTTCGGCCGCCTCGGTTTTCTTAGCAATCTGGGTCTGAAGTTTCTCCTTGAGCACAGAGATCTCATCTTCATAGTTACTCTGTAAAGAAGCCATCTGCTCCCTAAGAGCCTCGACTTCAGGTGAATGATCACGTGATCCCACGTCACTTGAGTCCTAATCAGATTCTTTCTTTAAGTCGGCGACTCTTTTCCAACGCTCCTCCCTCAGCTTTAAGTCCTCCATCTCTTTCTTTAACATTTCTACCTCGATTTCATTTTCCCTGTTCAGCTCTTCGATTTCTCTTTTGAGTTCCAAAGTTTCTCCTCTATGCCGTGCCTCCATTTCTTGTATGTATCTGTCTTTTTTCTTCAGTGTTTCCTGAAGGGCATCTTGGTCCTCGCTAACCTGCAATAAGAAAGAAATTTCTTCGTTGCTGTTCTGGGTTTGAAAACTTGCTAAACAAGTCCAGCTGCGGCAGATCGGGGGTTCTGTCTTAGCAAGGCAATTTCGTTGACGAATAGGAAAAAAAGATTGACAATTTATCTAATGAACTGTAGAATTTCCAAAGGCAAATGATGTGTTACATCAGGCTACATGGTGATTTTGAATAGCTCGAAAGCGCGAAGCATAATGGGCCATCCAAGGTCTTTGAAGGATCTTTTAATAGTAGGGTGCTGTTGTGTATGCCTTTTTGACATATCTCTACTACTGGGAAACGGTCAGTAAAAGTACTATTTAGCATAGAAATCGAAATATTGTCTGGCAGGTCGAAGCAAGTGCAATACTTATCTGTGATGATCAAGATTTTTCCCTTTCTTTGACATTCTATTTCCAGGGTCCTTGCGAAACGAGCAGCTCAAACGTGTATGACAATTAAAAGAAAAAGTGGCTCCATGGCTGAGAATATAGCAGAAGAATCTTAAAAGTAGGCACCAAATACCCGCAGGTAAAGGCAAGGCAAGACCAATTATATCGAAAAACAAAAATCTGTTTTACAATCAGGAATTAAACTTAGGGTTTTGCGCAAAGCCCTGCCTAATTGTTTCCCTGCTTGACTAATAAATGGCTAAAGAGTTGTTTCCAGGATTCTATCGCCGAAGAACTCTGTCACTTACGAGACGAGCAGAACTACAACTGACTCCTCACCTGTTGCAAGTCAAAGGAATTTTTACTCCTCATCATGTCACGCTCTTCCATCAAGCTTTCGCATTCTTCTGACTTGCGTGACAACTTTTCACTGATCCCCTTCAGAGCATCGTCTTTTTCTTGTACCTGTTTTTGCAGGTTTAACACCATTTCAGCAAGAAGTTTAGGGTCGTTAGGAAGTTCCGACCCAGAATTTTTGCTTCCGTTTGGCTGCATATAAGAAGGGTTTCAGAAAACAAGTTAATTTCCCTAAGAGATAAAATGTCTCAGAGTAAATGTTCTCAATATTGTCAAACTGTTGTGTGAGTAGCTAAAATTCTAATTTTAGAAAAGCATCTTTTTCAGACTCGAAAAAGCAATGAGACTTCTCACGTTATCTTTCAAAAGCAAGAAAACTGAATGGGGTAGTTTATTACAGAGATATTGTAAGTGGATAAAATACAAACGTCCCTGATATTTGATAATCTTGAATCTTGCGTGACAACCTCTCGGCGTCGTGTTGACTCATTTCTACAAATTACCGATGTTTGATTTGTCTCCTCAAATCATTATCTCGGTAATGATTTATTGGAGGAAAACTGGTAAAACATCTGTCCTTTCTTAAAAATCACAGAATGTGTATATTTTTCACAAAATATTGGTAAGAAAGTCGGTTCCTAGTTAACTGATTGTTGGTGAAATACGATTTCCGTAAAAAACGAAAGCGACATTCGCATTTAACTCTGAAACACCACGGAATCGTCTCGCCATATTCAACAGTTGTATGCGAGCGGGTGCTGATCAATGTGCCTCAGCACAAGAGGACAGAAAATTATCGAATTTTATTTGTAAATACCTGGACACATCATGTGAAGTTATGTATTATTATTTACACAGCTTACGATTTGTCCGTTGTCAAGTAAGCTACAACTTGACTTTCATGTAACGATCACAAGGATTTCACGAGGTCGACTTCACAAAAAGTCCTTTTGATAAGTTTTCACTCACCTTTGAAGGTACTGGTAAGCTAGAATTCGCAGTCAATGTCGCCGATCGCGCTGCTGGAGTTGCTGGTGTAGTTCTTTTAACAGGAATGCCAGTTCTTCCGGCCACCGGTAGAGACGATCGAGGTTTCCCGAACATGTTTCTGGGCTATTTATTTCGACGATGCTCAAAATTTGTGAAACATTCTTTGAAGTAAATAAGGAGATACTCACGTGGCCGTTTCTTTACATGGAAGGCATAAAATCTAACAAACTATCAACTTTCGCAAGTAGACGCGCATCTGTTGTCAAGTGAATCGAACGCGTAATTAGTATTCACTTCACGCCTAAAAGACCGTGATGCATTAATATTCATCTGTCAATCAAGTGTATCGGATCAATTTGATGAGTAGGCTTATCATTAACGCACTAATGATTTATATGTTTGTAACTAGTACCTTTGGCTAATTACCGTGTAGTGTTGATCCAGTTCGGTTTAAATCTATTTTATGGCCAGCCACGTGGGTTAGTTTTTCCTCTGCCGACATTTGTGGAGTACACCAAGGGGACTGGGTCAAGGGAGTCAAAGCTGGGCGATGCACACCCTATCGATTTATGTCTCCCTCATGGATATTTTTTTTAAACACAAGATCATAAACCGGAAAATAATTTTGCAATAAGCATTGATTGCGAGATTGTAAGCAGCCACGTTCGGCATGATAAAAACAAAAACAGAGGAAAAATAGAGGGAAAGGACAGAACTCAAAAGATCGACCTCTAACTTGTTTTGTTTTATTTCGTCCGTTTATTATTTATCTTAGTTTTTTCATTTTCCCGACGGCTGCACCATGCCGTAGCGCAGCTGAGTCCTAACAGACGTAATTGCCGTCAATGGACTGGCGGAAATAGCCTGCCCAAAACTGGAAATCTTGTTTCCAGAGAAAGGCCTCAGTCTTATCTTTTCATTCATCACTCATTCATTCACTCATTCATTCATTCATTCATTCACTCATTCATTCATTCATTCATTCACTCACTGATTCATTCATTCACTCACTCATTCATTCATTCATTCACTCATTCATTCATTCATTCATTCACTCATTCATTCACTCATTCATTCATTCATTCACTCATTCATTCACTCATTCATTTTATTTGCCATTACCAGAAAAAGATTAACCGCCACTGCGCTTGTAAGTTCGGCATTAACCGTGGTATTTAAAGTTGTAATAGCCGCAGCCGGCAAACCGATCACTTCGTTAATGGTAAATGTTGTACACTGTTGGTTTCACCATCAGGTTCAAGCTTTTCTAGCCCACGATACCCAAGTGCTAGTGTCGCCAGTTTATGTAGGATCTGGACAATCTGCGTCCAAGATATATTCATGTATTTTAAAAACAGTCAGAGATTTATTTATTATTTGTGTGACAAAGTACGAGAGAGGTTATACTCAGCTTGATTAAGCATTTTTTCCCCCATAGATTCCAGTAACTGGCGTAGCCCCCTTCGGTCTTTTTGTTTTTACCATTGAAGGCCCCATCAGTTGTCCTTCCTCCCCACTCCTTCCTCGACCACCACAACCATTACCATCAACTCCATCCCTTCCCTCACCAGTGTACAGACCAGCAAAGAAGAAAACCTTAACAATATCGACTGCTAAATGATAACGACGCTCACCAAATTGTAGACTTTGTATCTCCACTTTCTATTTCCATATCTCTTTCGATATCTTAATTATCTATATCTAAAGCGAGGTGGCCTCTTCCCGCTGGTTTCTTGACGTCTCCTCGCCCTCTAATTATAATGGCTGTTGATTAATTTTTTTGTATTGTTAAAAAGTAAATTAAAATAGTTATAATCATGACTTCTATAAGACCAAAAGAGACAAGAAGAATCAAACGACTTTCTTTCTTGTTTATGTTACAATATTCACTTTGGACTGTCAGCAGTGAAACATGATTTGATAGTATAGTGGAGATTATGATTGTTTTCTTAAGCAAATTCATTTCATGGGAACGATAAAATTCAGTTAGCTTATTCAAATAAGAAACGACACTCTATTTTCAAGTTAGTTCATCTCTTTTAACATTGTGAATTTGGTTTCTTACATTTGATTATCTGTAACAGTTCGATGACATCTCTTTTCTTCCTTTCAAATTAGAAAATTCAGCAGCTTATGGATTGTAATTTTTAACGCAGCGTTCGGTACTCAACAGATTTCAAGATTGACCCATTCAGATATAAATCTTACATTGTTTAGAAAGAAAAGCACCTGCTCTTGGCAATTTTTCCGAAAAGTAACCTGAAATTAGCTGCAAGTAAGTTTGAAGAAATCAGTTTGCTCCTGCTACTAAATGAGGGCAGATTTCATGTTGATTTAGGCTGAATGCAGTGTCATTAAGTCAAGAACGAAATAATATGCAGCCTGTCAACGATTAGTGGTTTGCTGCTTTCCTGCGCGAAACCAACCAAAGCTCCTAACTTGAAGACGGCATCTTTCTCACTTACTTATTACTAGATGCAGTAATGAACAAAATGTCAAAATTTCTTTGTAAACTGGAAATGTTCTCTTTAATGACAAGAGATCGGATAAAACGAAGTCTTTCAGCGTGTTTGTTGAAATCAAGCTGAAAATGTTTTTGCCTTTTGATGGTTGAATTAACTTATATCAACAAACTTTTGAACACTGCAAACATTTATCCTATTATTCATAACTCTTGTAATTTTTCGTGTTAACAATGTAACTTTTGTCATGTTTCAGTAGTTGAATCATTGAAGTCTTAAGCCCAGATAAGGTCTTGGGAAGTTCGTTTACGATCACCATATAATTTTTGTTTTACACCTTTCACGAGAATTTTTGAATTTGATGATTTTATGTTCTTCTGACTCAAATGATTGATGGTATAAATGATGCTTTAAAGGAAATCAACTTGTTAATGTTTTTATAAAATTAACTTATCACGCCATCCCATTACGACAGCAGCATTAAACCAATCAGTGATCTCTGTTCTAAGCTGCATGGTGCATCTGTTTGAAAAACGATATGTCGGGAGGAGCTTCAAAAACTATTCCGTTTTCTGACACTTGTGAAAATGAAAAAATACATTTCTGTCCAATTCGATAATCTAAATTTCTCTAATATCCGTCCATTTTGTCAGACGAGGAAAACATGTTTAAAATATTGTATAAACATTACGTAAACTTTTATACATTGTACATTCAGTGCATGTACACTAAATATTACTTTTTCACGGCAAGCGGTATTGTGAGGCCAATATCTTATAACCGAAAGGGCTGTCATTGTATGTGTGCATTTCTGTTTGGTGGCGACTGGTTTGATTACCTCTCAAAAGACTTATTCTGTCCTGATCTAAACATGAAGCGAATCGTTTTTATTCTTCTGGCAAATTTGCTCTTGGTGGAAGGCCGCAAACTTTCTACATGGGAAGATGATAAAGAAGGAAAACCAAATCGGCTTGCCGAGAGAAAACAAAGGATTTATCAGGTTCGTATCGCTTTCAGTTTAGTATTCTGGGAAAAATTACCTGCAGGTTAATGAAGTAAAAAGTTATTTTGATCTCAATAGTGTTTTTCTCGTATCATAGCTTTTACTTTTCTTACATGTAGTTCTACAAGCTTGAAAAATACACACAGGAAAGTGATTGTGTGTTCTGACAGTATAGCAATTTCTGTTTTCCCTCAATTTCCAGTTCTCTAATCTCCCATTGTTTACAACCTCACAGCAGCTGATTATAGATGGTATAGAATGGGAGGTTTCAGGATAAAATTAAAAACCACATGCATGGTAAAGAAATGGCTGTTTTTATTCCTAAATTAAGTTCTGTGCATCTTTCCGAATACAGTCAGTTTATTTTGGAATTAAAGAGTACCATTTTCATAGTCAGTGGGCTTAAAAAACTGTACTCACCAGTGTTCCTTAGCCTCAATACAAGGCAAAACAGCATGCTGAACTTTTTCCTATTCTAAAACGTCAACCAATAATCGGTGTTACCGAACGGGTTTCTAGTAAACGGTTATATTGATAGACTTAATTTACTGTCGAAAACTTGGGGATTGGTAGCCCAATCTCTCGAGCCAGAGGCTCATGTTAAAAAAACGCTCGACAAAATGAAAATGCTATGGTTTTTCCTTTGATTGATTAGCCTGAGTTTGGGTTATAACTGTAAACTTTGAATTTAAGGCGATGACTAAAAAACTTTGAACCTTACTCATTGTTAGAACTGCAGATCCAATGATGACTGTGAACAGTTTCATTGCTGCTTTGAATTGACCAAAAGCTGTTTCCCGGAAAGAGGAGAAAGAGAGGCTTGTTCGCCGGAGGTATCCAGATGCATCTTCTCTGTAGCTGCTATTATTTGATCTCCTAATGTTCCATCGTAAATCATTGCAACCTAATTCTTACGTTGGCTTATTAGGCTTGAGCATTTTTTAAATGAATGTCGAAAGAAGTGGCAGATTACATTCATTTTACTTTACTTCCATATGTGTGTTGTGTAGAAAACTCCTCTCAACCAATCAGACAGAAAGCTAAACCCAAACCAGGTTTAAAGGTCAATCGTGTCAGTCTGACTCTTGATTCTAGAACTGTTGAGTATATCATATCCCAGATCTTCTATTGAATCCATGTTTTTTTTTCTCTCAAACGGAACAGTTATTTTCCATCATCCGATGTACTTTGTGAGCAAATCAAGATATTTACGGAAGTTTTTTGAAATTATCTTTGACTGATTCGAGAAGTTTATTGCATGTTGGAGATTCTTGAACTCCTGAGATCTTAACAATCCCAACTACCACTCTTATGGTGATATTTCCAGTTAATAGCCATCAACGGCTACGTTTCTGATGAATAATGAGTGAAAAATTGTGAGGGTAAGTTACGTTAACGTTAATCACTTTTTGAAGTCCGGAAGAGCTCTGATATGTTTAACCAGCAGACAAATGTTTTAACTTATTTTAATAATTTGTCTTCGTTTCTCTCCTCAGGCTCCCTGTCCATGCAAGCCAGGTCTCTCATGTACCCTTATCGGAAAATACTCGGGTCAATCGTTTTACCAATGCTTGAATCCCAACATTCAAAGCGACCCCGATAACATGGCTTGATCTGCCGAACGCACTCCACATCTGTCCGTTTCATTTAGATATGTATCAATAAATGCAAAAAGCGGACTTAATTGTGAGGGTGTCTATACAAATATTTTATTTATCAGATGTAAATCAATTAGCGTTCTGTCTCTCTTGCTGAAATCTGTAAACAAAATGGCTTAAAACATGAGCCTCTCTTGTTGTTGAGTTCTGGACGACTTGTAGATTGATACTTAACCTTTTAACTCCTCTGAGGGACCAAGACAGAATTTACCCTTACAGTGTCAATACAATATCAAGTAGACAAGTGATGAGAATAAAGAAAAATATCAATCAGGGAATTGTTAGTTGATCCGAGACCAAATTTTCTAAACTAACATTACTAGGATTGTATGGCAGACAGTAGTGAAAGGCCTATGATTTCTATGCATGACAGTTGATTCGGGCTTTGTCCTCGTCAAATATCTCGTGATAGAAATCTCGCGCTCATAATCTAATTGTAAAATAAAAGATTAACTCAGTCCGGTCGATTTGCGCATGTCATGGGTCTGTCATGGGCTGCACATACGATATGGTCCTGATCAAGTGAACTGACATTGTTTAAAAATTAGCGTCGATTGCCAACCTATCCCATCAGGAAAAATTTAGATACCTCATGATGTTTGACAAGTATCTACTCTGGCAGTCCAAAGTACAATAATTTTAAATTTAGAATCAAGCTATAGCTAGAGATCTGAGTAACAACCTCAAAGTTGCTGGAATTAAGTCTCTGACCAGTTGTCTGATATGCTTGAAGTCACTCCCTTGAGTCCGAATTTTTAGTGTTCTCGTTTTCACCTGTTTCCCTTTGCTTCTTTTATTGTCCTTTGCTAATTAAAACAATAAGATTTTGGGATTTGAGATGCATGTGTTCATCCCCGTAATCCTTGCCACTGGCAGTCCTGGCAGTCACATGCAAAATCTCAACGGGAAGGCTTCGTAGTTACATCTTTTCTTTGTTCGGAACGGAAAAACGCCGGCAAAGCGAAAGCAATCGTTGGGGTGCTTCCTGTTGGGTACTTCGCAATCAATGATCGAAAAAGAGTACAACAAGATGGTAGACCCTGAAAATGGTAAACGGACAACTGAAATGGAAGGATATTTATCGCGGAGAAGAGATGATTATTTTCCGCTTTTAAAACCTTCAAGGGGCTGATCAGCGTCCCTGGTTCATTACCCTGAACCGATTTCCTGGCCGTCACTATGCGTGTTCAACGTAAAGTTTCCTAAAGAAGTCAAAGAGAAGTGTTAATATAGCTACTCATCCCATTGAAAACCGGTGATTCCATTTTGTTTTTTCGATTCTTTACCTGTCTGTGTTACAATTAAATTAAGTTGATGAGTGTAAATAGTTTGCTATCGTTTTTCGGAATTCAATCATGGCCACGCCTCGCGTAGTCGCCGAATTCAGTTTACATCGAGAAGAAATTCCTATCTGTGGAAAGGACAAACATGAAGGTGCTAGTAGCAATCTTAGTGTGCTTATTTCTTCTAAAAACGTCCTCTAAGGAAATTCAACACGAAGTCGAACACGATAGACAGAAACGTCTCAATTTACCTGATATATACGTAAGTTTCTTTACTCTATAGATCTGGCCCCGGTTGTTCGAAGGTTGGATAACGCTATTACTGTATAAATCTCTATCTGGTGGATAGTGCAGTACCTATTGCCATTGTTTATCCGCTGGATAGCAATTTATCCGTTGGATAGCGTTATCCGCTTTTTTAAATAACTGGGCCCTGGCTATTAGACCCTTGAGACCTTTTGGCAGACAACGGCGTTGTTTTATTCTGCAACGTCTTCTGGATACATCGCTAGAAAGAAAAATTTTACTAACTCGAAAACACTTATGGAAAAAGTACTTTTAGTTGATTAACTTGATTTTAGTTTATTAGCTTGTAGCTTGATTTTTAACAAATATTTCTTAGAACTTCGTGCATGATTTTTTCTTAGGTAACGCGATTACGAAGTTCTTTCCGACGCAGTACAACTCCTCATTCCTAGTCCCCGTCTGTTCTGAGCTTCGTGACACACAAAGCATTACAGTACATCTCAACAAAAGACATCAGGGTGTTGCCTAAATTCTAAATCATGAAAGTATCGCCTGTCTAAGCCATAGGGCCCAGAATTAAATAACTAATGTGCGTAACCAAACTTTTTACTCTAGATTTCAATAAAATTATAAGATTCGGAAAATTTTCAATTTGAGGCCATATAAAAAGTACACGTTCAGTTCTTCAGAGATTCTGGAAACACAGTTATTGAATTTCAGTGTCTCACCTTCTTCAGATCTGTGACACCGATGCAGATTGTGGCAATGAGCGTTGCTGTATTAAATAGATATATCTTAACCAAGCACGAGGGCCGTACTAGGAGAATATCGGCCCGAGGTCTTGACAGTACGGACCGAGCGCAGCGAGGTCCGTACAAAAAAGACCGAGGGCCGATATTCTTCCAGTGCGGTCCCGAGCAAGCTTGGTTAATAAGAGATTTATTATACGACTGAAGTTCAAAGGGACACAAGAGCCGTGTCATTCGGGACCATTCGGAACAGTGCCCGGTCCAATATTTAGAGAATATTGACTGGCAATAGAGCATTTTGATTGGTTGATTTTAGTTATTAGCCCTTTGACTGCCCGAGTCGTGTAATAACTTGGTATTTGTGCCCCCAAAAGGGGACTGGAGGAGTCCTGTAACTTTTCGGTAGGAGTACGAGGATCACTTCTTAGCATGTAAACTAATATATGGCAAGGGAGGATAAATCAAGTCATTTCTTACGAGCTATGCAGAGATTCAAATATTATAATTTTTAAACAGAGGAAAAAATGTTGGCTAACTGTAGCTGGGTTTTAAAGTCCCTTTTCTTAATTTGCTACTATACACTTGCATTTTTGAAGGTTTTAAGAAAATGTTACTCTTTCCATTTTACGGTAAAAATGGATGCATTGCCGGCAGGAGATGAATTCTAACACATCGTCATTGAGATCTTGAATATACCTTTGTAACATTGCTCATTACTGAAATAAATGTTACACTTTGAAACAGGATTCTTTAAATCACACTTCATAAATTTGAGGAAGTACTTTTTGTGTTGCCTAAGAATTGAACGCGGTGTTTAAATTCCCAGACTAAAACTAACCTTATTCATTGTTATGTTAAAAAGAATGAACGTTTGAAAGTAAAAAATGACGACATTGTAAACGATAACGTACGTACACCGTACGTTTTTCAAGATATACATATTATATGGGATTGAGCTGTGATCTTATCTCAATTTGTTATCAAATATAATTCCCTTTGTTTTATTATAGCAATACCACGGATGTGGGTGCAAATCCGGGCTCTACTGTCAGGTGGCAAGGTGTCTTGGTAGTTTTAAATACTATCGTTGTCTTCCACTTCTTCAGTAAAAACATCCATCAAGAAAGCACGCTATGAATGTAGATGCTGTTCACGTGCAGACTGAAAAATACTATGACCAATGTGAAATAAAAATGTGCCAGAGAGGAATAGGGCTATTCAGCGTAATTCAATATAAATGGAGGCCTTTTGTATACCATACCATTATCAAACCTGTTTTTTATTGTTTCTCCAACACCATAATTCAGGGGGGGGGGGGAAGCAGGCGGCACAGAGAAGAAAAAACGTGATGAAGGGGGGAGTGGGGAGAGGGCTATTATCTCCCTTGACCGTTCTCTGATTTATTTGCTACATAAATACATTTCTAGTCGAATTTGTTTTAAGGTACAAACAAACAAAATAAAACCGAACCCTATCCTGTAGTATTTTTGATCTTATTCTCATCTGGCAAATGCTTCTAAATACAACAATGTTGGTCGACAGTAAAGTTAAAAAAGGAAAGAAATGCTAAAATGGAACCTGAATTTACAGAAATTAAAAAACTTTTGACTTGAAAATAAAGGAGAAGCCAAACACTGACAGGTATTGTTGTCTAAAACAAACTCAATTTTTAATCCACGAAAAAGAATATGTACCTGTTTAAATAATACACAGCTGAATAACAGTTGAATATTTTAGTTTAGTGTTTTTTCATTTTTTTGGCGTCCAAAAAGATTCTATTGCACAAGCCTTGTCGATAATGTCCCAAAAAGAAAAGTGAAACAAAAACAGTGTCGCCAACCAAGAACACTGATCATCGAAACAAACAGCACTTGATTTTCATAAAAAACTGAATACCAATAATTATGTTCCCCTTTCGTGGCTATTCATATCAAAATAAACGTTCTTTTCAATAAGCAAGTCACTCCTCCTAGATAATATTGAAACAGAAGTGCAGCTGAAATAGTGGCACATTTTGGAAGGTTGGACAATTTTTTGTGTTCGAATTAAATTTATCTTGAATGCAAAACAGCACTGATTTTTTTACGTATAAAATGTCAGTTATAACTTATATTATATTCATATTCACTATTTTTAGGTTCAGTTCTGTATAAAACTTGTTCCAAACCAATATATCTTGGGTTTCTTATAAATGGGTGCTATTTCATCGATAGAGTATTAACAAGTAACTTTTGCAACAAAAATGAATTCTTTTGTTTCGCAAGTGACACAATCTAATAAAGAAACCAAGGTTTTGTAAACAAGCATTTCTTTCTATTTATAAGAGAATTGAGACGACAAAAAAGGCATAAATCGGTTGCAGATTTGTTACCTATGGCATCGAGAACCATTTGCAAAAAATGAAGGTCTTGGCTGGACTTCTTTTCTTTGTGGCCTTCACTACCAGTTATAAAATCCCAGACGAGCAAGAAAGAGAAAAGAGATTTTTCCTCGGGGTAAGCATTTCTTGTTTTATTGCCTCCATACAAACTCTTTTAAATACAATTTTCTCTTCTTTCAAAACTCCTTTGACTCCAAAAGGGATATTAAAGGTTTTCGTGTCAAAATAAATCACCCTCAAAAACTTGCTTAATAGTTCTCCATGACGTTTTTTCCTTTTGTTGTCAAGGAACAAGAAACTGATTGTGGTACAAAACCACTGCTCTAAGCGCCATTAATATCTAACGAGTAAATGATCAAAAGTGCCAAGTGTCTGAATTCAAACGTGGCAAAAGTTTTATTCTCTCATAAATCTACCCGTTGATGATATATGCATCTCCTTCATTTTTCCGTTTTTTTTTTTCCTTTTCTTCCTTATTTCTGTTTCACCCCTCTTAGAAATGCAAAGTGGACTCGGATTGCATCGGTGCTGAACGCTGCTGCAGTGTAATAGGAACATGTCACAACAAGAGAGGCGTGAACCAGTCATGTAACTTTGTTGTAAGTGATTTTTTTTGAAGTCTAAGTGAAGACAGTTTTATCTGTTAATAAGTTTTTTTTGCGCGTGTAAAAATAAATCCCAGTCAAGAAAAAGAAAGTACTCATTTGGTAGGATTTGAATACAGCATCCACATTCAGTGATCTCAGTTTGTGTTCCTTAATCGCTTGCCAGCTCAACCACTGCGTTATAATTTAAAGACAGTTGATAGTTTTAGATCTTCAATGAAATCATCCTCCCCCTCTACTTCACCTCTCAAAGACAATTTATCTTCCCCCAGGCCTAAACATTTATTCCTTAATTTCACAAGACTGCTGGATCTGAAAAAAAATTTACCGTCACCTAAGGCAAAGCTTTTCCCAGTATGTCCAATATATTTTTGCATGAGTCATTTAAAGTTAAGTATAGTACTGGTGCAGTATGGGCCCAATACTTCAAAATCAAGGGCAGGCAAAACAAATCATTTTTATCATCAGCATTAATGACCTGTAAAAGAAAAGGGCCTATAGTTTTTCATGGGGTGGATAAGGCCATCCAACGGATAAATCGCTCAAGCGGGTAAGTGATAACCAAACATACTGTGCTATCACTATGCTCCGGTTGTTCAAAGGCTGGATAACGCTATCCACTAAATTAATCTTTATCCGGTGGATAGCGCGGCTCGTTTTATTAAGACTTATCCACTGGATAGCTATGTATCCGTTGTCTAGCGCTATCTGACTTTAGCAGAGGTCAGTGGTTCGAATCCCGTACAGGCCTGATTTTTTTCAGGTCTGATTTTCGCTATTACTTAAATAGCGCTATCTACTGCGAGGATCGTGCATCATATGTATCTAATACCGCAGTACAAAATATATGAACTTCATATATTTCATTGTATCTCATTTATCAATTTCACGGGTTTATTACGAATCAACTTAACGGCCTGCTCCCAATTGGCTTGTTAGCTCAATTGGTAGAGCGCTGCACTAGTATCGCAAAGGTCAGTGGTTCGAATCCCGTACAGGCCTGATTTTTTTCAGGTCTGATTTTCGCTATTACTTAAATAGCGCTATCTACTGCGAGGATCGTGCATCATATGACTTTAGTACGTACAACTAGGCCGTGATAGAGACTTATCCAACGTTGGATAGTGTTGTCCACCTTTCGAGCAATAAGGGCACCTTCATGCAAATTAAGATTTTTTTTCAAGATCCCTCGAAGGTGATTTACCCAAAGTTTCTCAAACCTTTTGCTTCACTGATATGAGTTTCTGAAACCAAAATAATTAGACGAACTAACACCGCTTAAATTGCACTGGCAAGGTGCAGTCTTATAAATGAAACCTTTTTTTTTCGGATGTTAGGTGTTCTTATTTATGATTTATGATTTTTTCAGAAACTCCATAAGTGTGGTTGCCGATCTGGTTTGACCTGCCAGCCAGTTTCATCCATTGCTTCAATTCCTCTCTACCGTCGCTGCCTACCGGCGCCAACTGAGGAGCCAGGCTCGGGTGACATACCGTGAGGGAATGGTTTTTAGTTTGAAATAAACGGTTGTTGAAAGACATTTCCAATGTCCTTATTTTACTATGCGTTGGTATCATCAATCCACCTCAAAATTAATATATGTTGCTTTAACGAAAATCACTTCCAGGTATATCTTTTTGCCAGAAGGATAAGCCACTTCACATTAATAGGTCCGAACCAACCCCCTCAGTTCAATACCCTATCTATATTGGAATAAGTGACTAAAGTAGCCCAATTCTCAAGGTGCAAATGAGCGAAAAGTACAATTCCTTTGAAAACGTCGCATTTGTTAATGACTAACCTTTTGAACTTATCAAATTACTCCGTCAGAACCAACTCATTCAGTTCAATGCCCTAACCACTCTTTGCTTTCGACCCGCTTTGCATAGAGGAAAGTGAAATATCTGCTAAGTTTTTTGATCCGAAGGTAGAACAGTAGCTAAGCAGGCATACATGTACCACAGGGAACTCTAATGAGAAAATCAGAAACACAGCCTCAATCATGCCACCCTTTTAATGTTTAAATTTCTCATCAAATCACACAATCAGTCCACATATATTTTACTTCTACAAAAGCGTGACTCCTTGATATGCAATAACAAACAGCAGTTGAGCAATTACTCACGATACCTTAATTTTATACGTACTTAGCTAAGTTCGATGAAATACTTCTAACAAACTTAAATCCGTAGCTTCTATGATGTAACTCTGAGGATGAGAATAACTTAATCGCCAATATGGTGCAAAATCCTAATTCCCAATCTAACAAGTTGCGGAGATTCTCGTTCGCTTGTAGTTGAACTTGGAATGAACCTAACAAGCAAGATAAATCTTTCTGCGAGGTTCTTTAAAAAATTCAATACTGAAAGATGTTGTATGACATACATGTTGCCATGGTAAATTTATATATATGAAGAAAAAATGGTCACCTTAAGTCACATCAGTAATTAATGTAAAAGGGTTGGTGGCAATGATGGTGATAGCAAACCATTTTAAGACACCTTAGTGACTACAGGCATACATTTTCAGGGATTCTGTTTTGACCGTGTAGGAAATTCTTGGCAAGCATTATAGCATTCTTGACAGCGGGATCCCTGTTCAAACGGTCCAGTTTGCGTGCTGAAAACAAATGGAAAAAAATTAATTTCTGTAACAAACAACTCTGCGGGTGCTAATAACTCTGCCCCCTTTTTAATACACAATGTTGAATGTTTGCCGTAGTGTCTGAAGTTAACGCCCGAGTATTGTCACGTTTAAATTCACAAACTTTTTATACTTATTACTTTCTAATCATAAGCCTGGTCGACCCTTAAAAACAAAAATATTCCTCGAATATCAAACCCCTTTATATAAGCCCTTCTGAATGGCTCTGAATATATGCGCCCAGAGGACGGCCTTTTTTAAATGACGGATACGATGTACGCAATAAGCACCCGGCAACCTAAAAAGGTAAGCCTAAAGCATCTAGCAGACCGTTACTGCCAGAGCTTACCTGGAGTGAAGCGAATACGATTGTTGCAATTCCTCTTAAACGGGATATTACCCCTCCAGTTATAGTTTCCAGAGAGTTTACAGGTACCCAATTATATTCTTGGCGTATGTAGGAGAGAGGCACTGTGAAGGACTCGCATCCGACCTCTTATTCGAGAGTAAAGCGCACTTCTCTTAAGCCCAACAACATTCCAACCACAACAGTTATACGTGAAAAAATTAAAGCCACCATATCTCACGTGAGTGTCCTTCCTCAATTGTTACGAAATGGTAGGTTTTTTGACTTGATAAATGATTCTGAAAGAAGAACATTCGAAGCTCATTACCTAAAATTTCATTATTTCCGTGTTGCCTGTGTTCTTCTTTCATTTGCCTGTAACTGTTGGCGTAGTTTTTCATAGTATCAGCAGCGTTCTCCATGAAAAGGAGACACTGTTCCTCTCTAACCTCTTCCTCCTCGGTCAAAAGGTTAGATTTAACCGAGACTTGATCAGTTTCTGCTGTCACCTGGTTGCCTCGTGTAAAGCAAAGAACAGATAAGACAAATTGGTTAAAAACAATCAATTTTTCTTAATGTTATAAGTGTAAGGATGTTAGAACGAATGAGACTTATATGTGCTCTCAGGTTGCGTTCACTACTGGTACCAATTGGAGTCATCGACAAAGAGGCTTTCAAAGGGTTTCATCTTTTTTTCAAGGGATACTTACCTTTTACCTCACCAGATTTCAACAGAATATAGCAGTATCAAAAATTAGGCGTTGAAGAAAATAATTTGAAAAGAAACGCTTCGCAGCTAATACACCCAATAGACTATAAAAGTACGAAGTGAAGTATAGTGAAGTGTAGTGTTGTGTAGTGTAGATTAAATTTCGAATACATTGACTTACTTTCCTCTTGCACAGGTGCTCGTAATTCGCTCTCCTCAGAGGTCTCTTCAGGAACCTGTTGTTGGATTGATGGTTTATTTCTGTGGTCATTTTTGCATTAAGTTGAATTTGGTTTAATTGTTGAATGCATGTTCAATCATAGAACTATCACTGACTCAGGTAGTAAAACTTCATTGCATTGGTGGCATTACTTACATTGCAATATTTAAGGGATGTAAAATCTGGAGTAATCTCTCCAGTTTATTTAAATGAAGGTAACGGTGACATTTTCCTGCGTTATCGCTTCGACTAAAATCTGATGCCCTGATTAATAAGAAATGCGTTAATTGATACAAATGCACAGTGGCGAAATCTTGCGACCTTAATAAGTGTTTCCTTGAATAGGGAAAAATGTTAAGCAACTGTAAGTACGCTATCAAAAATAGCGAAAAGGCTGTAAAGCTTACATATGCTGTTCCGTCTCTTGCAAAACAAAACAGACAGCAGAGCGAACGAAGCAAACGTTGATTTCTTAATTCTCAAATGTTTTGAAAGTGACTGTAGTCTGCGCCAACACTGACACAGCATCCTTAGGATTAATGTAACTGTAAAATAAAATTCACAAAATGGGTTTTCTTCGTTAATCTTGCGAGGGGTTATTGAGAACTCGTGTTTAGTAAGGGATACCGTGCTCTTACAAATTACTCCTTGTTTAGACAAAATTTCTTTGTGGGCGAATACAGACTGATTGAGGTTGATTACCAAACAATTTTCTACAACACCTGGAAACACGTTTCAGTAAAAAAATGTTTCCTCTTTGAAACTCTTCAGATAGACCGAGTGGAACATTATTAGATGTCTTTAGATGTTTCGATATTTGCTTTTCAAAATATTGCGCGAACAATCTAGATAGAATAAAGGGTGTAAGCTTCTAAAGAATTTCTGGTGTTTCGTCTGTGGGAGCAACAAGGTAATTGGGGTTTTATCAACTGAGTTGTTAACTTTTCTTTACGGTGGCTAATTTACATTATCAACTCAGTTGATAAAACCCCAAATCTAGACAGAACCTCCTTTCAGAAGAGTTTGACTACAGCGAAATAAAATGGTGAAGAAAATGTGGTCTGTCCCTGTTTGCGTTATTCATCATTTATTTATTTTCTATAGTTATTTACCATTTTTCATCATAACAGTCACGTTGCCTTTTCAGGATTCCTGTTTCTTTCCCTTCACCCAGTACAATTTCATTTAACAGGACTAAGGTAACAGATATTATTCTTTCTGGAAATCAGAATGATTATCCCTTACCTAAGAAACAAAAGTCAGATCTTTCCCTTACAAACTATTTCATAATATGACGGAACGACACCGAAATTGAATTATATTTGAAAAGTTTATCTCCGGAAATATGAGGTAATAATATGATGCTACCGTGTAATAGACTTCGTGCAAGAGATCCGGGACGTTACAAGGACTATTCTGTTTTGTATATTTAACTGTGGGACACTGTGATCATGCATTTTGGTGTAACCATATGACTGAACCAATCGATCTTTCGTGTATGAATAGCAGCTGTATAATCCTACATTATTGACTTGCTCTGCTACACCTAAAAGGTCCTTCTTTATTATCTACGGTCTGGCCTTACATGAAAATAAAACGTATTAGCAGCAAGCACATACAAATACCAGGGAAGAGAAGTAAACTTTTCCTCGAGCAATGTTTCTTTCAAAAACGAACTCAAATAAGAGAACATACCTCCTGACCATCAGCACCACAGGCGGCCTCCGCTCTCCTCTTCCGCAAACCTAAAAATTCCACGGCGGACAATACACCTTTCCATAACCACTGGATTCCAGCGATTGCGCGCTCAAAAATACGTTTGAGGGCAGCTTTTGCTTCCGTGAGACATTTCACGAGCCAATTTTTCAATTTGGTGTAGCCATCTCTGAAATTGTCCACGCTGAAACTATTGCCCATCCTGAAAAAAAAAATTAGTAAGGCTACAAACAATCAACCGGCTAAAATTATGAATTATTATCTGATACATTTTTTTGGTACAAATACCTTTCGGGTTAACATTCAAACGATCACACTTTTCAAGATCTGTGAAGTCCACTGTCGGCCCCTGCAAATTTTGTTCAAGCCTAACGTCGTCGCTCACTAAATATGGGTTGAAGTGGGATTTTCCCACGGGTTTTGTCCCTTAACGTGATTGGGTGATACCTGAAGGGATTTTTCCCTTTAAACTTTCGCCGGAATCGAAAGAGAAATATGCTTATAATCAGTTTTTGATACGAACACAAGATAAAATAAAACGAGAAATACACTATTCATCTTAAGAAGAAAACAGTATAGAGCGCAGATAAATTTAAATAATCTTAAGTTAGCTGGGTTTTAGTCGACAAAAACCCTCAACTTGTCGCGCAACATGAGCAAATTTGTTGCGTGGCAAGTTGTGAATTAGATGACAGACGACTAACAAAGGCAAACTTTGTTGCTCAAAGTAGACATGCGCTCTTCTTTTCGCAAAGCTTTCTTCAACCCGCAACAAATATTGTATTTGCGCGATAAGTTGATCCCGCAAAGTGAAAAACGTGAAACATCGACCGAAAACTTGCAACGAAACGATGTTGCGCGACATAAACAACAGAACAAAGGATTATAGGTTGGGGTTTTCCCTTTCATGTTGAAAGACGATCTCAGCATTTCTTGTTTTGGAAAGACCAAAAAGATAAAACCAGAAATGAATTTGTTCCTCTTCAAAAGAAAATACAACAAAAGTGTAGATACAAGTAACTAGTTGGGAATCAAATGAGTCTTAAACAGAAACATAATGAATTAATGAGCCCAGTTTCGTCGGACCACAGAACAGGAAGTTACTCGTTTGGGAAATTTCCCTTGGGAAAGTCCCTTTGATGTGGGGAAAGTCCCTTTGATGCGGGAAAAGTCCCGAATTCGGTTGATTGTAAATGACCGTCGTTCCAACGCCATCGCCTCAGTCTTTCTTCGTCTGTTAAAGTGGTAACAAATCTGGCGCAAGAATCGAGAAGGAAAGAGGTGGATAATGGAAACACATGGAGAGCCTGAGTCTTGCATTAGGTAGTCTATTTTCTTTGACAAACGCTCCCCAACAATATTTCCTCCATTCTTAATGCTATCTTTGATAATTCCCTTGGGTTTTCAGGGAGTCCTTTAATTGTCCACATTTCCAGCGGAACACTTGTGTGATTCACTTCACGTGCTGCGATGAGTGGTATCCTTGCCACAAATGCCACAATGACTCCTTAGAAAGGCAAGAGAACGAGAAACCATCAGTGGATAATTCAGAAGATATTTTCGTGGAGAGTGATATAACAGAGGAACGAGACGATTTGGGAGAGGGTAGTTCAAATTCCACTGGAATTAGCCATGAGCTCGAAGGTAGAAGTTTACTCAAAAACTATCTTACAGTTTTGAACCTTATTCTCTCTTTTCCAATAAACTATCTAATATCTGACTTCGGCGTTTTGTCGACCATAGCTTCCCCACGTACTGTTGCATTTGATGATGCCAAAATGGAATCAAGAGCTAAAAATTCAGATGCACCCAATGGCGAAAACAACGAAACAGCCACTGACTACGAAACCTTGCGAAATGGGGACAACAAGGTTTTGTCCGGAATGGAGGTAGAAAATTCAGTTTGTGGGGAAAACAATCAAAGTCAAAATACTACTCTTTGTAGAAAAGAAGAAGAGGTATATGTAAATAAGCGAATGCTATAGTCACTAAGAAAAACCTATCTGCATGATCTGAATAGACTGACAAAATACATGCTCAGGATTGGGGTAGGAGGGCCTCCCCCCAATTTTTATGGGTCCGGGCTAAATCAAACCTGGACAGGTAGTTTTCATGTATAAAAAAAGAATGTGAGCGTATCTCACATACCTCACCCAATGTTTAAGGAAAGTTTGCTTTCAAGGTTAAACACTCCAAAACTTATCAAATTTATAAAGCCCCCGTCCCTTCCATTTTTTGAAAAATTTTTAACGTCACCGTTCTCCCTCCATAAAATTAAACAGCTTTCATCCCTTTACCTCCACATATCCTATTCTGTACATCCAACAATTAATACAAATCAATATAGGGCTATATAATGAATACAGTTTACAAAATGTACTTCTTATGCCTCCTTTACACCACCATTGGGAATGAATGCATTTAAAATTTGAGTTTGGCCACTCAACCTTAGTCAATGCAGTTGTTAACTAAAATCAGTTTCCTAGTAATACTCTGAATATTATCATGTTCTTTTTCCTTATGTAACATGCAGAGTGATGCACATGAAACTTCCTCAAACACAGAGACAAGCTTGTCAAAACTTAATGGTTTTGAAGAATGGTGCCTGGTAAGAGAAGAAAGCATTTCCACGGTAAGGTCTTCCGGCCAAGCAGCAGAAGGTGCCGGAGAACTCGAAGGTTAATAACTTTAGATTTTATTGTAAAATAGAGGTTGGCCCCTTTCATTTCGATGTGACCTCTTTTTGCCTTAGATTGCAATAAGATTTCTAACTTTAGGGTAATTTAAAGATCTCTATATACATCCATGTTAGTTATATTTATTTTTACAGAAATTTTAAGATGTACTTTGAATCTTGAGATAGTTACAAACCACCCTGGAAAAATATGATGGCAACATTTAAGCTTCTCTTTTTTTAAAAGAAACAGATTAAAGTTGATGACATTATGTCAGTCTATTGGACATTAATTTGATGAGGACTCTTAATGGCTTAGAATGCACGATATTTGCTTCTTTCTACTCAGAATGGATCTTCCAGAGTGTAAGGCTTAAGTACAAATAATCATTTATTTCAACTCACAAAACAATTTAAAAAACAGAGAAACCAAAAAAAAAAATAATAATTAAACAAATAACAAGGAAAATTAGACAAAACAAAGCGACTAACTGATATTGAAGCCACAGGCACATTTGAATTAATCTGTGAGTTTACCATGCTCTGTAGAAGTTATGGTTTCGTCCTCAGTATAGACTGTCTATCTTTAAACAATCATATGGTAAAATATTTAGGTATAACAGATGATGCATCAACTAGTGACATAAAGGAAGAAAGTCCAAATACTACTGATGGATCATCAGATCAACTGAAGAACAATAAAGAGATTGGTCTCAGAAAAAATATGATGCAAGGAAATGATGAAAATAATTCCCATCTCTCATTGGTTACTAAAAAGGAGCATTTACTGGTTAAAGCACAAGATGGAGATCGCCTAAAGTGCACAGCATGCAACCACATACAGTCAAAGGTGATTTCTGTAGTCCACCACATTTATCCTTATTTGTTAGAGAGATAGATAGCCCTTTTAACTGATTTTCGTGTACAATTTTTGAGGCAGATAAAACTCCTCCTATTTTCATGCCATCAAGTTAAATGGATTTTGACGTTGACACTGTGGAACACTATTTTGTTATTTTTGGTTTTATGCTGTTTTTGTGGTATTGATACCAACACAATTTTCTCGACAGTTTTGTCAAAGGTGTGAAAAGGAGTCATGTGGGAAAACATTTGCCAGTTATTTCTGTCCAGAATGTAAACTTTTGATTGACACTGAAGGAAGTGCTAGCCTGGAACCTTACCACTGTAGTCTGTGCGGGGTATGCAGGTAAAAAAAATTAACCCAAGTCCCTTTTGACATATTTTCCCATCCATCAGATTGTTATCTGCATTGATATGTACATCTCCGTTGTAACATTATTCTACCCCTCTTCCTCTCTTCCTACGTTGTCTATATCCCTTCCTTGTATTCTCTTTATTTTGAAATACTTGCTTTCATCTTTTTTCCTTACCTTCCTTTTTCCTTCTCCTTAACATCTTTATTCTTTATTTTGTTGTTGTTTTTATTGTTATCATTGGCACTCGTCCTTCTTTTTGGTCCTCTTCAGGTCTTCTCTCTTTCCTTCTTCTTGGTCTTCATTTTCAACTTTCTTCATCTGATTAGTTTTCACCAACACCATCACCATCGTAACAACTTTGCTACCACCCATTATGATTATCATCATCATCATCATTATCACGGATATCATAATGAAGTCTTTGTTAAGTTCAAGAAGTTTAATAGAACAAAATCGCCATTGTCAAACACGTGGCAAAGAGAGCGATCCAAGGGATCATATTACATGTAAATATTAACTACAGCATACATAATGGTACGATTACGTAACATCTTCTTACAAAAAAAGAACGCTGAACGTGAAAACGATAACAGTAACGAACAAAAAACAAATGTCTTGACTAAGAGTTTCTACTAAAAGTCAGGAATGTATGCTCGACTGAGCGTGTCTGCGAGGTACATTTGAGGACCGGGTTTGTCGACGACCGTCATGTCGAATTTCTGAACTTTGAGTAACATCCATTGCAGTCTCTTCGGCGCGTTCCTGAGTGGCTTCTGATCAATTGCTTCCAGCGGGTTGTGGTCTGTCTCTATGGTTACAGGACGACCGTAAGCATACTGCTCAAACTTCTGTGAAGCGAAGACAGGGCCTAGCATTTCTTTTTCAATTTGAGCGTATCATTGTTCGGTCTCAGTGAGGGCACGACTGGCAAAAGCTACAGGTTGTCCGTTCTGAAGTAGTACTGCTCCCAACCCCTTCTCAGTAGCGTCGCACTGTTTGGGGAATTCTGCACTTCATCACCAGAAATCGGGGACATTTCAAGCCCGTTACGAAATGTCAGCGGTATATCGTATTACAGACAATTTAATATGGCGGCGGTGGAAGTGAAGTGAACACGTAACTGTCTATTATCGTAAAACCCCACGAGAGAAAAGCCTGGTACCTTTCTATCCCTGAAAGTTAAAGAAGTCGAAACAAGGAAAATGGCGGCCAAATTGTGCAGCTACTGGGACTTGTATCTTTCGTTATCTTCCTTCCTAAAATTGGGGTATTTAAAAATGGTGTATTTGCTTTTGAGCTCTGTGAAAATACGAAGAATTTCCCGGCTCGAGGAAAATTTGTGGGCCAACATATTCGACCGTTTACGAGCGATTTAGTTGAGCAAACTTCTGCAGAATGCATATCGAACTACGCAGTTGCGAATCTTCACAAGGTTTTTCCAACGACAAAAGAATTGTAACACCTAGTCGAAGCAGATTTAAAGAGTTTGTATGGGAAAATGGAGTCAGAATTATGAGTTTACTAGTATACCTTGGGAAAAGGTAGGCTTGAATTTGAGTATTTCTTTTTTGTAGCGATGGACGCTTCAACCGATGCAGGCTGCATTTACAAGTACGCAGCGAAAGAATATCTCATTCTTAGACAGCTATTTTGAAAAAACAATCCTTTTCCATACTTTATAATTTGGATATATCAACAAAGTTGAAATGGTAAATTGGCCACCGCAACGATTACAAAAGCTGACGTTTCGAGCGTTAGCCCTTCGTCGGAGCGAATAGGAAAATTTGTGGGCCAACATATTCGACTGTTTACGAGCGGTCCATACTTTCCCATACTTTGTCTTATACTGTTTCGGCGCCATTTTGCTTGTAACACGAGAACCGCCTCCGCCATATTGTCCCAGATTTCTGGCAATGTGGGTCGTAGTATTTGAGCAGTGGCGCCTTTGTTACTAAATCTTTGATAGTTTGGAGAGCAGCTTGATGCTCCTCAGTCCAATTCCACTCAGACTCCTTGCAGTTCAGCTTTCTAAGTGGCACCATTAAGTCGCTCAGGTGCGGGAGATACTTTGCCAGATAGTTCGAAAAACCACAAAGTCTTTTCACAGCCTTGACGTCTTTCGGCTCGGGCATCTCCCGGACTGCTTTGACTTTGTCAGGGTCAGGCTTCAGTTCGTCACTTGTGTTGATGAGTCCAAGGTACGGAATTTCTTTGGAACGTGGCATTAACTTTTTGGGGTTGAGCTTTATCCCTTGTTCTTTACACCTGCTCAAGGGAGGCTTCAAGCTTTTGGTCATGATCTTTAAAAGCTTCCTCATCTGTGTCTCCTTCTCTGCAAATCACCATGTCATCCTGGACTGTTAAGAGGCCATCCAGGCGACCAAGGGCTTGGTTCAGCCTTCTCTAGAAAATCTCGGACGAAACACTTGGGCCAAACGGAAATCGTTTCCCCAAGTATCAACCAAAGGGTGTGTCAAAAGTGGTAAGTTTGCTAGACTCGTCGTCTAGAGTCACATGCCAGTAGCCATTCCGAGCGTCGACTTTAGTGAATAGACGAGCCTTCACCAAACTGGGAAGGATGTCTTCAATCACAGGTATGGGGTAATGCTCACGACGAAGCGCTTTGTTTAGGTTCATAGGGTCAATACAGACACGAAGATCGCCGGAGGGTTTAGTGGCAACGACGATGTTGCTTACCCAGCTAGTAGGCTCGTCGACTGGTGCCGAATTACGCCTGAGTCTGTGAGTCGCTTCAGTTCCTTTTCCAACTTTGGTTTAAGGGCAATTGGGACTCTCCTTGGAGGTGAGATTACAGGTGGTATGGTAGGATCAACTTCTAGGTGCTGCTGTCCTGGTAGGGTACCTAGCTCACCATCGAAAACAGCATTGTATTTGGCGAAAAGTGTCTCAGCTGTGATTAGCTCTGACGGGTTTCCTGTGTGTATGTGAGCAACGCTTTTGAAGTTAACTCTACATACAAGGCTAAAAGATAAGAAAAAATTAAAATGTTGAATGTTAAAGTTGTCGCGTAAGATCTTAATTAGTCCCATGTGTTCACAAACCTTAGCTCCTAGCAACGGGGTTAAGTTTTCTTTCACCACGATGAACTCTACGGAGTATTTCTTGCTGTTTTGTGGATTTCTGACGCGTACACGACACGCGCCCTCCGGTTTGACTTCCGACTTGTTCCACATTTGTAACACTCGTGGCGTCGGTGACAGTACTTCATTTTGGATGTACTTTTTCGGAATTACGTTTACGGTCGCTCCACAGTCAACTTGAAACTTCACTGGATGGTTCTTGATAAGCATTTCAGCATAGATTCGATCAGACTGTCGTTTACTAAATGTCTTAAATATTAAATACAGCATACGTAATGGTACTCCTCTTCCACCACTGATAGAATATCTCACTATTTGTTATGACGCCTCACCACTTAAGTTGTTATTCAAGGATGATGCATCCTTTGAATTTGTCATATTCTGTTTCTATTGTTTGAAGGTTAAACAAGGGGGAAAACTTCCATTGTGACACGTGTAATGTCTGTATGCCCCTTTCTCTGAGAGATCATAAGTGTTTTGACAATAGAGGTCACGATCCATGTGCAATATGCTTGGAGGTAAGTGATATTTCTTTTAATACTATTGCTAATTTTCAAAACTTAGAATATAGTTTAAGTGATTGATTGATAGTTTGTGTCAATTTTTCTCTAACTTTCATTTTGACTCCAAGGATAATACTTTAGGTAGAATTCAGGTATTCGAAATCTATTGCATTGAAAGAGGCTTCCTTTTCACGATAACTATCATGTGCACATATATTTTTAACTAGTGATCTGACTTTTGACGCATTTTCATTGCTTTTTCCTTATATGATGTATTAGGGGACACTGACTAACGCATAAATGATGTCACCAAGAACAACTTTTTGCTTCTTTTGTACATTAAACAAATAGATACTATGTTGCCGTGAGTCTGTTCAGGGATAGATCAGGTAATCTTCAACCACATTTGCTATCATCTGTGATAGATTGCTGAGCAGACGCACGGCAATTATATTTTGTAAGTAAATCATCTAACTAAATCCAATGAGAAATTTCAATCTTCACTTGCACACTCTATTATGGATGTTTATTTTTTTCCAATTTGAAGTCGAGTTTTGTTTTGATCCTCCCAGGAAGTTTTTTCAGGAGCTGTTATTCTTCCTTGTTTTCATATGATTCATGGGGATTGTGGTTTAAAGCTTATTCTCTCAGGAAGGTAGGAAAAGAGAGTTTTTTTCCCGGGTCGAAATAATCCGTAGGCATCATGATGTTCTCAAGCTTGCCAGCTGAAAGTTGCCTCTTATATCAAATGCTTTGTAAATGAATAGAATTGAAACATATTTGGATATTTACGCTCGTACTCTTTTGTTCAATAATTGCGAATTCATTGTAAAAAATATCGCGTCATTAAATCCAAATCATCAGCTTTAACTTTCGCAAAAGAAAGGAAACTGCTGTAGACAATTGTTCTAGGACATTATTATATGGCTGTGTCTCACAAGGACTGGGAACTACCGAGTTCAAGAATTTGATTGGCTGAAATCAATATTGAAAGCGGTCTAGATTTTCCCATCTAGACCGGCAACAAGACCGGTCTACAAAAAAAAAGGTACAAAGGATATAAAAAATTGGCATATAAGACACAGCCACATAATAAACATCTTATTAACCGAGCTAGGTCGGTTAATAAGAACTAAATATTGTTGAAAACAACTGATAAACAAGAAAGCAATTACGTTCACTATGACATACGTATAGAATTTGATGAGAGGAAACTTAACTTTATCCAATTTGGCGAACTCGTGTTTTCTCATCTTCTGAGTAAGATTATTAATTTGCATGAAGCGCGGGCGAGCATTAGGCGCTGTGATTTTTTGCGAGTTGTCTTGACCTAACATATGGAGTAAAATGCTTGGATGGCTAATGTGACATGTCTCTCGATTTCAGTGACACATGCCCAACGTGTCGAGGCGCCATCATGCAGAATAAACAAGAAGTTGGGCATGTTGTTGAAGAATCCCAAACAAGCCGCGGAGTTGCCCCCAATAGAGGAATTTTAAGCAAATGTGGGAGTGCTTTCTTGACAATAATTCAAAAATTTTGTAATCGTACTCATAGTGCCACTGCGAATGAAATGAGCACTTTGCCAGTGACACAACACATTTCGACCCCCCTCGGATTTGAACTCCGCGATCTAAATCCGCTACCGGATCTCGACCCCCCTGGTCCAAATCTATCAGCGGACATGGACCCCCTTTTGCAGATTTTGAACTCCTCCTCAACCTTGCTTTAAAACATCGTTCCTTTCATGCAACCTTAGCCCTAATCCTCAACCCCAACGCCAACCCTAATCCTAACCCTATGCTAACAGTAGAGGTAAAGTATTATCTATTTCTACTAGAACGTTAAGGATAATGTTTTTACTCAATTTTGTTGGATTGGGACCGGGGGATCCAAATCCGCCAGGACACCGGTATGTCGGAGGGTCTGAATGGGGTTAACCATTAGCCGTAGACGGCGAAAAAAGTAGCTGCGTGGCGCTAAGATGGAAAAATTGTAATCGTAAAGTTTTTCCTTTAATCGCAACCAAAAGGAAATGGCCTATATTTTAACCGTCAGCCGTAAAAGTCACCACCCCACTATGACCCTAGTATCGGCTCGATTGTAAATAATACTCCTCGATCTTCATGCACTTCATATTAGTCAATGATTACGACACTGAATGATTTGTCTTGGAGAGAGTCCATTTAGAAAGGACACTCATAAAGAATCAATGTATGGATGTTTTGTTTTAAATCATGTTGAGCACTCTGAATAAGGACACACTTTCACGCTGTTTGCCCTCTTCGCTCTGTTTGTGTCTTTTTGGCTGATTTCTCCATCTGTTGATATATTTTTTTCTTTTTGCGAAACGGTTTCGCTAATATTTTAAGCCGTAGTGATATGTTCAGTCTGTGAGTGAAAGACGGCGCTAAAATTGGCAAAAGCTGTTTGAACAACCGAATGCCAATTCCACATAGAAACAAATAAACAAATGTAGTAACAACACAAATGAATAAAGGGTGAAAGTTTCTAAAGAAACTGTGGTGCTGCGTCGGTGGGGGTAACAAGATAATTGGATATATCAACTAAGTTGAAATTGTAAATTGGCCACCGTAACGAAGGGCTAACGCTCGACACGTCAGCTTTTACATTCGTTACGGTGGCCAATTTACAATTTCAACTTAGCTGATATAACCAATTATCTAGTAAAAACACAGACAAGAGGAGAAATACAACATAGTTTTACATTTTATAAATTCACACCAATGCTATAGTTCCTCCCCTTTTAATCATTATTTGTAAAGTACATGTAAACACACGTATTGGTCGTGTATGGTGTGTGCACAAAATAAATCGTTTATATATGACAATCATCATTATTGTTATTACTGATATTACTCGGTTGGGGGTTCAGTGTCGCAAAAATTTAAAATTCTTGTCGCGGACCAAATCCATGGTAGTTAAGAACGGGGCCTGAGAATGGATGAAAGGTCTACTCTGGGACCTTTAGTCGCTTAGAATCACTTAAGGCAACGGAAACTGATGACCTAGAGTGGGCCAAATCAATTCGATTGAAACGGTTGATGTGCATGTCTTTTTGTGGCGATGTCTCTAAACGTTCTGCTCACTTAATTAATGATGGTGAATCAAACTTTGCTTCAGCAACCAAGAAAGTACATCTTTCGTGTTATTGCAACATCCTTCAGTTCAAAATCAATTCGGTTTTGGTTCCTAATTGGTCATAATCACGCAGTCCTTAATGAGATCAAAGGACATTTGAAAAATCGGGCTTATGAGAATACCTCTCCAACCTGTACATTACAGCATTCCATTTATTTCTGAAGTGACCTATTCTATTCTTTCACATTTAAGACGTCAAAGCAAAGTTAAGTGGTACGCCTGGAGCGTTCGCACCTGTTGTAAGGATGGTAAATGAGGAGAGGAGGCGGGGTCAACGAAATTTTTTTTTCAAGCTTAAATTCTCTTCAGTCACAATATTTGCCTTAAACCCCATTGTTATTGACATGACACACGTTTTGGACTAAATTACAAGGTCAAAGCCTAAGATGGACGACTCAAAGTTATGACTCGCACAATATTTGGGTTTACGATATACCAACCTGAATAACTTGTCACAAATTTCCGAGTCTCTCGTGAGGACGAGGGGAAACAAAAAAACTGAAATAGTGCTCAATTACTTGTATATCCTGCAGTGAACTAGTATTTGATGACTTCTTAGATAAGAAGATACACAATCCATTTTGTTCATGGCTGTTTAATTAACATTTAACAAGTCATTGATTGACTAGTTGAACAATCACAAATCCTGTGAGTAGCAATTTACATATCAGTATTTATTAACATCATACGAACAGAAATAACATCATGTTTTCTCGCAAATGTGGTATGGCTAACATTGGTGTATTTCAAAAGGAATCTAACCAATGCAATGAGCACTTTAACCATCCACAGATGCCCTGTGACGGCGCTACGATAAATCAGGGGAAAAGTGGCAGGCTACACTCGGCACTGGTCTTAATAAGACTAAATTCCCCTAAAAATGATTGTTCCTAAAGGTAAATTTCTTGCGTTATCTTATGATCTCTACAGATTTTGATCGTTTTCACTATTAAAGGAGGGGGAATTCCAACGTTAAAAGATTATCTTATCACTGGGTGTTTGAATTAAATCTACTATCGTTATTTTTTTTCTGTTAGGACGAATTTTACACTATGTGAACCTAGAAACGATCATTTTGCCTGTTGGGTATCCTCACGATGTATACCTGATAAATTACAGGTTTCCTTCTCTGTTTGTAACCAAAGCCAACTAATGAACTATAATTACAATACATAATGTAGTTGAACTTCCCCAGAAAAAGCTTACCCTCTTTGAAAAGAAAGCGTTTGTTATTTTCGACTTCATCTTTCACGAAGTCGTCCTCCAGAAGGCTTAAATCTTCTTCTTTCAAGGAATAAACCACGAAGGCGAACGCCAAGCAAAGAATTAGAGGCACTGTGAACTTCATGTTGCTTTTTTTTCTGCTACAGGAAAATAGCGTAAGCGCTTTCTAAAGTAGACCTGAATGGTTTTGCAGGCGGCTGATCAACCTTAAAACGGAAAATCATATTGAAAATTCAATTGGCTAGGTGTAAAAACTATGTATGATGTAACTAGTCGAAAGAGTAGAGCTTTTCTTTATTCAAAAGGCTCAATCAAGGAATAATAATAATAAGAAAGCAAACACGACAAACGCTTTTCCATATTAAATTTGTTTCGAGTGAACGGGAGTTAATTATATGTAATATAATAAGGTAGGGGCCAGCTTAGATAGATGTGGTTAACCTGTTCAAGGTTAACTGCACTTTGTTCTTTCCAACACAGTTTGGTTTATCACGAAATCTGTACCATTGCTCAGTTCCTATCGATCCATTAATTATTATTTCCTGGTGATTTTAACTCTCAAGAAAATGAAAGTAAACAAGCAGTTGCAGCTGCCAAAGTTTTGGTTAATTTGAGAAGGGAACGTATCCATGTGGTGAAAATTTTACATGACACTGCAATTAAACTAAGTGAAAACATACTATCCATTCGTTTCGATTCCCATGTCTGGCAAGAGAGGATACAATTTTAATTTAGAGTTTTCAGTTGATTTTACATCTACTGAATGTTATTTTTTCTGATCATAGAGTTTCCATGCTTCATTTCAAAATTAAGGGTGGAATTTTAAATTTTGATGTAATAAAATAAATTATAGCCTTTGGAATGGCCTATAGAAAACACTGATGAGTCGTGACCGATGGCTCCTTGGCTGAAATAGATTGTATGCTCATTGCAGAAACCGAACATGAACTTCAAAGTGAAAATCAGTAGATAGAAAGCAAAGTCATAGTGTGGGTAGCGATAATACTAGTTGGAAGTATTGTAGGGAAGAATACTAACTTGATCTTATTTTTCGAGGGGGTCGCTTTTTAGTATAACAGAGCTATTAAGAAGATTGACTTACCTGGACTGATTTCCTTTTTAATAGTTTTTGTCAGGGCTCTGATTGATGCGCTTCAAAAACACTCAAGGAGATTCTTTCAAATCAAGCAAACTTTGACAAAAGGAAGGGAAAAATCTTTCAGAGTCAACAAACTTCTAAAATCTACGGCACGGCGTGTAATCAAAAAAGGAAGCTACAAGTATCAAAGACAAGATTTTGTGCAGTAACAAAAAGTATCGCGAAGAAAGAAGAACACCATCGGGGCCTTGAAAACTAAAGATATAGCCCATATTAATCATTTATTTGTTGTCCACTGCCCTCTCTTTTTAAGCATTTAAGTACATGCACTGAAAACGAAAACTAGGGAATTGGAAACGACCTTTTTATATAAAAAGGAAAGTGCGTTCTAGCAAAATTTATGGAAAATATTAAAAGAGATAAGATCTAGCTATGCAAAAGCTGATGTAGGCTTAAAGTTTGGTTCAAGCCACACTTTTTCACTGTCGGAAATATCAAAAAAAAAGCAGAGAGAGAGAGAGAGATACAGAGAGAGAGAAAAGAAAAGCGGAAAAACAGTTGTTGCTGGTATAGGCAAGTCATTTACAACACCTTCTGAATTGCGGTCAAATAAACAATAAATTCGTCATTAATCTAATAGTGTCTAAACGTAGATGTTTGATCGCACATGCATCTTAATTTAGAAAGGGCACTTGAAGCATGACCCATTCTTGTTATATTGGGCAGAAATGATTTTGGAATAATTCAAAATGGCAAAGTTCAGCAACAGCAGATTTTTAGATTTTTCATTGAACTTGTCACTGTCTTCTACAGGAACTCAAGTCTGATCTGTTCGAAGAGTTCAGCATATTTTTAATCAATTTTCAATCCGGCTAAAGTTAATAACGTTAGTAAATTAATTCAACTGGGTAAAGTGCTTTAGATGGCAAGATTCAATCCTCTGTAAAGAAAGGATCAGGCAGACAAGTCATCCTCTGTGATAATTCCAACGAATATTTTCGCTGCGCATTATGATATGATTGAAACATCTACCATTTTGACTTTGAAATCTCAAATGATCCGTTGCTGCAAGATGTTTTCTGCTTCCCGGCCCTTATCGTTTACCTCTTCATTGAAGAGCACGCCTGTCATATTTGCTTTTTCATAAAACTATTCCTTTGACTGGGCCTCTTGAATAAAAGAAAAGTCAAAACTTCAAAGTTAACGGCATAACACATCGGTTTTACACATCGGTGATACCGAGCCACTTCATTTCGCAATAATGATTTTCGATTTCTAGTTCATCAGCTGTGAAACAGTTCAGGTCTATAGCAGAAAGGACTTCGCACAGTCTTTTCACCCACAGTGATTCTTGTAGCGCTAAAAGCAACACGAAGTTCGCTTTGTCTTTCGCTTTTTGTCTGGCGTTCGCCTTCGTAGTCAGTTCCTATTAAGAAGAAGACTTTATGGAGGACGAATTTCAAACAGACAAACGCTTTTTTTATTTTAAAAGAGGGTGAGTTTTTTTCTATTAGTAACGTTCAACCAAGCAAGTCCAATTATCAAGTAATTAATTAGCTTTAAATAAGTCGCTTGAGTCTTTTAGAATGAGAAAAAGACAATTTTATATCATATCCCATATGCAATAAAAGAAAACCTCAGTTAGGTTTTTTTCAGGATAGTTCTGCACAATCACCTTTGTGGATCCAGCAAAACTATTTTTTAGTATTTTTTGTTGTTGTTGCTGTTAAGACATGCGAGGTATTACTTTCAAAAGGAAACAATGAAAAATTAAGGGAGCTCTTAAATGAAGAAAAAATATTACTTTTAATAGCTGGAATGAAATAAGACGCTCAATTTTCTCGCTGGGTCTCGTTTCAAGTATTTACTTAATCCTCTCTCTAAAGAAAGTATGCGTGCTATTTCTGCTGATACTTGTCGAACTACAAGTTTTGGAACACCCACAAAAGTACAACTCACACAAGCAGCTTTCTCCTCCCACTGCCAAAATATGTCTCGGTATTTCTAAGTACTGTGCTGAGTCCTAATTTTATCAAGCCTAATAAAGGCCTTGACTTTTTTTTCATTTTTATTGTTCAACTGATGCAGACTGTTCAGCTGGTCACTGCTGTTTCCAAAAATTCGGTTACACCAAATGCTTGACAAGAAAAGGAGTGAGCAGAATTTGTCACCCATCCTCTGTAAGTAGAACTCGACTCCTGCAAGCCTAAGTAGTTTAACAATGAATGAGTATGAAGTTCATCAGTTCTTGAATTTCCGATCTGATTAGCTTTACGTCGCACAGATACTTTTTTTGAAATGATTGTTTGTAGATTGCAATTGAAATCTTAAAACGCGCCACCACAGTGTAACTAGTAACAAACTACTGATAACACTCCACCTACAACACTTTTACGACACCACGTCGAAATGCACTCTAGAACATACCTATATAGCTATACCACCTTCGCAAAACATATTTTTTATCCTGTCATTGCTAATAGGTTCAAATAATCATCATAAACCGGTTATCATTAATAAAACCAGAACTTATGCCTCCTGCCTGAGGAAACTTTAAATGACACAGCTAAAACACTATTTAACGCATTGTGTTTAACCTTGAAACAGAACTGCTTTTGGAAATGCCAGGAAGGATTAGAGTGTAAAAGGAGTTTTGGAATTGGTCAGTTCAATATCTACAAATGTGCTCAACCAGAGGGGGCAGGTCCTGATCTTGATAATGTCGATATGTCAAATGACCGTCTAGAATAAACACAGGATTATGGCTGTTCAAATGATTTATAAATTGTCCAGTGTTGAATAAATAGCAATGAAAACATGAATTTTGTATCTCCTCTTCATTTAAAACACCACACACTTAACGAAAAAAAATAAAAAACAAATGTAAGTGAGCATATTCTTGTGTCATTTCTCCTCGTCCTTAAAAAAGACTTGAGGCTTTCTTGGCGTACGATTTCTGTACTTACACCAAACAGTCGCCCGGATAAACGGCAAATTTCAATGTTGTTCTCGTGGAATGGAACAGTGTAGATGGTAATTAATATACAAAATCATACATTAGTGAAGGAACCACATGATTCTGCCTTTAAAGATTAGATACAAGGCAAATATTGGATCTGAAGAAAATTGACTCAGGGAAAAATTAGTTTTGTTGACTCCACCTCCCTCCAACACTAACGATCTAAGGATCACATTTGGCATCTGCGCAACCGAGCTCAGTTCATGTTAACCGTACTCGAATAGCGATTCGAGTACCAGTTCATCGAATACGATTGATTCGTTCTGCGTACGACTAGGGAATCTCAGCCGATCGACCCGTGTTCCCCATTCGAACTCGGTTTCTCAGCCCGAGCGCACATTGGCGCCTCACCTACAAGGACCGAGATCCCTTGGGTACCCTGCATCACGGTCAAGTTATAATTTCGACACACCGCAAAGAGAATTGATGTATTTTTATCACCTTAAAGAGAATTCCTTAGTTTTTAGTTGACGCCACCCTAGTCTTGATATACTTAAACTGCTGTATAGGTTGACTGAAACGTTTAGGCTCATTGAAAGTGGCCTTTCTTGTGGCTAACTCAGACATGGGAATATCTCAGGTGGAGAAGGTAACGTTACTCATCCCATTCTTAAAATAGTGTTTACATTGGAATTAGCTTGAAAGGTTTTCATGCTAATGTTTTTCATGGAAGAAATTGTAACTTCAGAATGGCTAATGTTACGCGAGCTTCGTATGGCTGACCCAATTACACGGCAATCATATAATGTCGCTGAAGTTCTCCATTTCATTCCTGATACTGTAAACCCTTTCAAATATTTGCCACGCTTTCTATGGGAATATTGGAAACGATTTTAGGAGAGCTGCTTGTATCTCAGTTAAGTAGACGGTAGTCATAAAACGTCACTGAAGTTCTCAATTCCTGATACTTATCAACGCTTTCTTTTAGAATATTTGAAGCCAATATTATTGTAAACAATATTACCTCGGATGCATAGCCCTTTTATTGTAGTCAGAAAGGGAGGTTTACTTTAAATAACGCTCACCTTGTGCAGCTCATAGACTCAATTTCGTTGACAATGATAAACTTGTAGTTTATTCTCTGGGGTACTTAGTTTTAAACTTTCAATGAAACATGAATATGATACCTTAAACTGGAGAAAGACATTAATGTGAATCCATGTTTTTAATAACTTTTTTAACTATAACAGGTTGAAACACAGACATTACAGAATTCAGGTTTAGTGACGATACGTTTCATATTAATTTCTATTATTCATGTTCTTTCTTTATTTCTTGTCTTCTCTCTTTTCTGTTTCTGTTGTACTTTCTTTTCCTTTTTTTGGGTGGTCTCCATCCAATTCATTGCTTGTGAAATCTGGAAGTAGAATATGCAGTTTCTTAAGCATGTCAAATGGGATGAAAAAATAATAACTAGAATTATTATCATTATTGTAATACTAATGATTTTTAAAATTGTTTAGCTCAAAATGCAGCCTTTGCAAAAGTAGCTTTATGGTACATTTTGGCAGGATTTTTAATGTCGATGGCTGGTTCATAGATTAGGCCTTCAGGAATTGTTCTGATTCACGGCAGCTGGATTAGGCTGGCGATCCTTAATAAATTGACAGAAGAGAAGTTTCTCTACATACCTTCAATAGTTTTGGAGAGATCTTCTACCAACTCTGGCTTATTCCCTCTAAAGCTAACCTGCAAGAAATGAAGAAAGGAGACGGGAGGTATGCTACCCAGGGGACAGGTTGCTTGGGTTGCATACCTCCCTTTATTTTGCCGACCAATGCCTTAGCCATGAACTTTCGAATTTATTTCACACTAGACTTATGAATTTTGGGGAAACTGTGCCAAACATAACTGGTGTTTGGTTAAGTGAAGTTTAGTTGCTTCAAGGGTTCATTCACTTATTCTTGAATAGCAGCTTTACTCAAGAGTTTCTTTCTTAAAAATATATTTTCTTAACCCATGAGTCAGTATATGAGAAGTGATTTACTTTCTTGTTTCTTTCTTAAGCCCAAGCAATGTAGCAATGGTCTTGCTTTGTATGCTAAGATGTATGTGAATGTGTATGCTAAAATGTATGTTAATAATATGTATGCCAATATGTATGTCAATGTGTGGGCTGAATTATTATGTGCCTAAGAACCTGGAGGGAAAGATCCTCGCTCACGAAGAGCATGGACACATAGGACCTGGCTCAATTAGGAACCGACATGTGCTAAAATGTTATGTGCCTAAGAACCTGGAGGCAAAGATCCTCGCTCACGAAGTGCATGGACACAAAGGACCTGGCTCAATTAGGAACCGACGTGTGCTGAAATGTTGTTTCCCTAATAACCTTTTGTCTCAGCGAAAGTAGAGCCTAAGATTTTCCCGTTGCATTTTGGATGGAAACAGAAGACCTTAGCAGGCCGTGTTGTTTGATGCTTGATTAGCGCTAACCTTTGATCAACTGAGGCCAAAACCACGGCATTGCCATGGTAGTTAACGGGGATTAGTGCTAATGTGGCTTTCGACATCTTGGCTCCGGTCTTCAGTAACTATATACGATAGGAAAATGGCTGTGCCGCGCAATGTTCACCATTTCTTCCATACCTTATCACCTGATTCCTTTTCTTCTCTTTTTTTGTTTTCCTTGATTGGAGCATAAAAACTATGATTTCATAAAACCGAAAACCTTAGTTGCCAAAAATTTTAGCCTCATATATCTTTAAATTTTCCATATTATTTTGACAGAAATATCCTCAAATGTGTCATTCTAAGATTATTTTCCAAGGAATTTATTTTCTTATACAGACTGTGATTTCTGATTTTTCATTGCACTTTAATTGATGTAGCCTTGGCTCCTACAGAACACTAACCCATTCACAAATGTGAAGAACTTCCTCCCCCAGCAGCTGGTCACAGTGCTTAAGGACATTGTTCCCCCTTTGAAGGTTGAAATACAACGGGAATTGTTTTGGAACTTCCCAACCAGTCACACACTTCCTGTCAAGGATAAAATTTTGTGGCTATTAACATAGAGGTCGATTGACAACTCTTCTATATGTCATTACCAAACATTTACCTGGAAGCACGCTGTTTCCTTGAATTTTCGCATCCATTGTTTTCCCTCTAGGTCTGTCACCTTTATTTGCCGACCTGATTGTGGTTCCTCAGATATCCGCAATTCTCTTGCTTTCCTTATCTGTATAAAAATATATGCTGGACTACAATCTCAAATTCTAAACCTAATGCAACGCATTGCACAGCTTAAAATGGCTGTACTCGTCTTGTATATTACCTTTTTTAAGGATTCCGTTTTGCTTAACTCCAATTAGATTAAATTGATATTTGATAGTGTTTGAACAAGTTTGACACCCCACTGTTATAACATCTTGCTCTTTCTTTGCGAGCCAAGACGTTTGTTTTCTTTGCATTCGCATTTGTGACAAGACAGCTTTGATCGAAGAAATAAAAGGCTCAGCTTAGTTTTAGGGTAACTGTAATCCTCGCATCACCGACAACATGAGGTTCTTGTTGTTATTAATGCTTTGCCTTGCTTTCGTCCTCGTTGCAGCTGAACCCAGTTTTGTAGAGGATGAATATTTAGAAGACGCAGAGGAAAATGATGGGCGTCATCATTTGCGCCAAGTAGGTAATCACTTTTAATGCACTAATCGCAAAAATACACGAGATTTGTTACGTGCCTAATGAGACAAGCTATACTAAATCTTTTTAAAAAAATTGAGGTAGAAAACAGATCTCTCAGTCTTTTCATGTTCTTGTTTTCTGTCGCACATATCTCCTTGCCTCTAATGCTTTTTGAACACCATTTTTCTTTTATATCATATTTATTACGGGTGGTCCCAGTTTAAAATCAAGTTTACTTAAGGCTGCTACCTGCGTTCTCCAATTTACAAAGTAGGGTCCAGGTTTAACAGTTGTAACTAAACCCTTCAATTTAGCGTTTGCAGTGAGAACATTTAGAATAGGTATCACTGATGGCCTGATGCCCTCCCTCTCTCTCTATTTAGTGCCAAACAAAAGAGGACTGCAGAGCTGGAGAATGTTGTCGGCCACAGGGTTGCAGGTTTTGGCGAAGGCGCATTTGCTTTAAACAGAAGACGGAAAATCAACGATGTAAAAAATCAATTGTAAGTGCGTTTCATTTTGTTCTGGTGGAAAGCTACTGTTTACACGTCCAAATTCTACCAACAGTCGATGAAAACACTTAGCACCAAAGAAATCGAAGGCAACAACAGCAACAAAACAATTTGAAAGGATTTTCCATTGCACTTGCAGCAAAATAAATCATAAAAGCTCATTTAAGTTTCATAGGGACAACTGACTGAAAATCTTGTTTTCCAATTGATAGCCGGTATCGTATTTTCTGTTTTCTACAGTCAATCAAAACCTGTCATCTCGATTGTGCAGATGGCCTGGAGTGCGTAATGCGTGGGAAACCTGATGATTTTCGTCATCCTCGTCATTATTGTAAGTGTGTTCGTCCTCTCCCACCCACTGAGGAACCGGGCTCTGGGGACATAGACGACTGAGGGAACTGGATACCAGATGTAACACGTGACACATGTTGTTTCACAAGTCGAAATGATATGATTACAATTGAACGTGTAGATTAGTGAACTGTTCAGATGATCAATAAAAAGCGTGTGAACTGATACGAGATGCATGGTGCTTGTCATGATTGCGATGCGTGATTCGATTTGCTGCACGTGACGTGTGAAATGTGTAAAGTGTACCTTTGGCTTTTGATTGCGCTTTTAAGGAATTGGTTCTGGAATTTGATTCCTGAAAACTGGAGGCCCTAAAGAAACAAGCACGATTCCGATTACACGCATCAGAGTTATTAAAGAAAGCTCGTCCGCTCCATGATCGAATCGATCTATTTATGCTAGATCCATTGTAACATTATTAGCTGTTTGACGGATGCAATTCAAAGAGAAAACTTTGGGGACATGTTTGCATCAGTGACTCGTGAAACAATAGCATGAAGTGAAGAGGACGCTTTTCACTGTCTTAGACGAGAAGCACGATGGCGAGATTTATTACGATTGGGAAATAGAATGTGTTCGATGGATATAATAGCATCATCAACTAATCAACAGCCAGAAATCGAAAAGAAGCTTACATCCACCCCTGCTTTAGGCGCCAGTTTGCTTATGAATAAAGGAGAAGGCTTCATTAGATGTCAAATCAGACTTGTGAAGGCTTATTGAAACAAAAATCTAAGAAAATCATGCTTTAATGATAAGCCAATGACGACTGAGGGGAAGTGGGATGACAATTAAACCTACACAGACACTAAATTGCTTCACAATGAACTTTTGTTATCAATAATCAGCTGTTTAAAGACCTTTAGAGACCATTGAATGAACCTTGGTAAGGTGTAGAAAGAGAAAGGGAGAAACAAATAATTGTTGTAAGTCAACAATATCATTTTTTCTTTGTCTTAATTTTGCCTTAGTAAACTTCTTGTTGGAACTGCCAACATTATTGTAGTTTTAAAATGGATCAAATGATTCAAATCATGGCAGATATTTTGAATCACACCAAAGCAACCCTCCAAAGCAATTCTTTTCTTTCCATCACTTTTTTTGAAAAGGTAAAAATCTGGACTTAAATAGAAAAGACTTATTCACAAATGTACTATCCTCGACAAAAACATCAGCGACGTATCTTGCAGTTTAAGCAAAATGAAGCCAGCAATGTTATTTGCTTTTTGTCTGGTGGTCACTTGGTTGCAGAATCTTTTGGAGAAGAAAATGAGCATCGCATACGCAAGGTATTCTTTGATCGTTTTTTAATCATTGTCTTAAACAGGGTTTTGTCCACGATAATGTAGTAAAAGTCGAAAAGTCATTAGGTCGAGGTAAAATAAAGAAACTTAAATGTACACCTGAGCCCTATGTGAGGCAAACCGAAAACGTTTCTTTAAATAAAGATTTCTAAAATGAAAGAGAAGGGTGTCGGAAGATCCTCTGCTGTTAACTGAAATCTCCCAGAATTTACACTGACGAAGCAATGCTCTGTATTACAGTGTAAGAAGAAGTGTAAAGTTGGAGAATGCTGCAGGATAGTCTGGTATTGGTATGAATGCTTTCAACAGAGAGGACTGGGACAGCCTTGTCGCAAGAAGCCGCCTACTGTGAGTCCACGTATCCGTGCTCCTGTTTTACATTCCCTCAACTATCCTCACGAGCTGAAAAACAAAAATAATTATCCCCACTACTAAGTGGGTACGTTTAAGGAAACTGCGCCGACCTACCCGAGTTGTATCTCGTTTCTGCTCCCGGGGGCAATTTTCAGTTTAACCGGTACCGGTTTTCTTTAAATGTGAATTTGAACTTTGATGCGCACGACGGTCAAAAGAATAGCTACACTTAACTTAACCTTAGAGTTGTACTATAACTTTCTTGCCTTCCCCGCCTCATACTAGTGTCCTCCTGTCTTTTGCCTGAAAATTACTGATCATTTCAATGAAAGAAACAAACGAGCATATGATGAAAGATAGAGGGTCTGAGAGAGAGGAACGAAACTATTTATTACGCCAATGTACACCCCGCGGGTGGCTTTGAATGGTTACAGGGTAGGGGCAAACGAAGTATGGACATTTTCATCTAAAAAAAAAGAATGGACATTTTCATCTAGGTTTTTTGATACATGAGTCGAATTTAATATTAGCCTTTGAGATCTCCGTTACGAGAGTTTGCCAAAACAAATGAAACATGGAATTGGCAACAGCGATCAACCATACAGCAATAACTTCCTGTTTCATTGTTTACAACTTGTTGGGACATTGTATTTTCTATTTTTAATTAGTATCTCTGTCACCACGGTTGTCGCGATAGACTGGTGTGTAAACGTGTCCTTCGTCCCACCCCTGCAGACGAAAAGCATCCTCATCACTGCAGGCGCTTCAAGTGTATCCGTCCTCGACCTACAGTGGAGCCCGGTTCTGGAGACATTTACCTGTAGACTTACATAATATATTGATAAACGTCAGCGCAGTCGGGCACCTTGAGCCAACTTTTGTTGTATTTGGTCAGAATCTGTCAAGGTCTTTAATAAAGGGTATTCAATACGAAGTATATATCGTAAATTATTTGCTCAATACCTTTTCACCGCAATGCGGTTGTCTGATCAGCTGTCACAAAGTTTCTGTTATCGTTGATTCGCACGCAGTGTTTGCCTCCAAAAGCAAACTTTATACGGGAAAAAATCCAGAAATTTTTCTCCAGTCAGAAAATACAAATCACGATTAAAATTGAGGAAATACACATTTGAAAATTTCGAAAATGGGGCATTGAAATGCCTCGTTGAAGCGACCAAATGTCCGTTATTTTTAAGAAATGTTTTTTGTTTTTTTTTTATATTCCGCTTTATTCAAACGTACCACATGGTTGTATATTTGCAAATAATAGCCGACAATCCAGTTTAGAATATATGCTGGTTGTTTTTTGTTTTTATACTATAACAAATGAAGCAAAGCTTTTCTTTCATATAAAATATTGGTTAGAAAAGCCTGTATTGTTAAAGTTGGCAAATTCTCTCTCTCTCTCTCAAAAAAAAAAAATTGCATGGTGATCGTTATACATTATGATTTCGACAGAAAAGGAATGTTCTACCGTAACGAAACGAATTGAGAGATTTAGGCGCGGACTGTAGGAGGTAGGGGAAATAGTTCTTCAAGGGAAGAATTCACAATAGAGTTAGAGAGGAACAAACCTGAAATGGGGCGAAAACTTCATCAACCTCCTAGAACAATAGTGAAACTTAAGCACCACCTACCTCTCACTTAACAAGGTCAAAGTTTGTACAGTTAGTGACAGTCGGACAGTTAGGTTTTTAGTCGTCACCTATGTGCTAAAAAGGTGAAGGAGCGTCCATGTGTTACTCCACGAAATTTGGTCTTTAGAGGGAGCTACGACATGAAAATCCTAAAAAAAAGACTATGGCTAAGTGCTAAAACCGTACGACATCTTACTTTGCCCCAGTTTCTCTTTGCATGAATTTTTTTAAGCGATATTTCCTGCACAAGCTCTTTTCCTTCGATAGAGACATAGTTTGGAAGAACAGTGCCTTTTGCGAGCAACTCGTCAGGAAGCTTTTAAGAAATGTTCGTGTTTTCTCGCTGTCGTTTTTTAAGCGTTCTCCCTTCAGTACCGTTTATATTTTTCCATGCCTTTATTTATTTACTATAATTTCCATGACGATATCAAAGAGAGAACAATATTAAGTACACAACTCAACAAGCAACGGATTCGAATGAGCTCGCATTCGATTCCACCACTCCTCTTTTCTACTTCGTCTTCGTCTTCTCGGGCGAAAAGAGTTTGTTTTCAACCAGTACAAATCTAGGTTGACTTCCAGGCTTTCAGTTGGAGATTTATGTAAGATTTGATACATAAAATCTGTAGCTGGAAAATCTTTATGAATTCCCCTTCTTGTCACAAGAAGAACAACCTTTCGTGCCTTTCAGTGTGCTTGGATAATTTTACTATCCTTTTGAATTTTCATATTTTTGTTGACGCTCAAATCATGCAATAAAGATCCGTTCATTTACCTTGCTTAGTCCTTAACTTGACTTGTTGAGAGCAACAAACAAAAACAGCTGTTCTCCTGTACTAATGGATTAATCAATCCCCAATAATTAGAGGAAACAGGAGAATTTCTCGAAAAGAACAAAACAGCTCTTTAAATCTTCAAGTGTTGTTTATTTACGTTTGGTGGTGTGGGTAAGCGATTTCCTTTAACCCAGATTGGTTAATTTCCCAATCCATTGCGATTTAAGCGATCGGGGTTAAAGGAAATCGCTTAAATCGCAATGGATCGGGAAAATAACCAAACAGAAAGTAGAAACAAGCAAAGTAGATACGGTAAGCTGTATTTTGTTGATAATTCTAGTGAGCATTTATCAACTTGAACCGTTTACCTGAAATCCCATACAAATCCTTTATATTCACGGTCGTTTTAAATTAAACAATATGAAACCACATGTATTAATGATTAACCTCTCACACTGAGCTTGGGCTACCTGTGGCACACCAAAATGTAAGAGTTCAGTTGGCTTTCCTCACGATGTATGCCTGGTAAATTACAGGACGGTTTCTTCCTTCTCTGTTTGTAACCAAAGCTAACTAATGAACTATAATTACAATGCATAATGTAGTCGAATGTCCCCAGAAAAAGCTTACCCTATTTTGAAAAGGAAGCGTTTTTTTTTAACAAAAACCTTTATTTATTCTAATTTCTAATGACTATTTCAACAAATTGGACATGCCCACAGGTAGCTAGCTAATCTAGGTGGTTCATGTCTTAATTAAGAAAAAAATTTTGGTATACAAGTTTACTTCATTAGAGCGAAGTGCCTTGAAAACACTTGACAATCGCCCAAGGTTGGTCAGAGCAACGCGAGCAACTACTTAACAACGCGTTAACCGAGCGTTTGTTATTCTCAACTTCATCTTTCACGATGTCGTCCTCCAGAAGGCTTAAAGGGACACGGTTATGATCTGCGCATGCTCGTGTAGCTGATCGAAACTTGAAAAAGTCATCCTGACTTTTTCAAGTTGCATTCACAAATTCTAAATGGCGTCTAGCGGAGGATCCGGACATGGCGGTAAACGCGTCAACTCAGGGCGGAAACGAAAGGTTGAAG